GAAGACACTTCAAAAGATACTTCAGAAGACGCCTCAATAGACACTTAAACAGATATCTTCATAGACCCCCGAGAACAATCGCTTGCATGAAACACGAACCGAACACAGGATGTGAAGTTTAAAAAAAGGCAACGGGAATGTGACGCGAAATCAACGGCAAATAAAGCACAGGCAGCGAACTTGTTCGGACCTGAAGATATGAAACAGATGCAGAGATTATGAGGCAGAAAAGAAAAGAAAGAGGGAAGCGCCAGTTTGCAGTTTTATACCAACCCGGACCGGATTGCAGCCTAGCAGGCAAGAATCGATTTCGAGTCTGAATAGACTCAGAATGGATGGAGTTGAAGCACCAATAGGTGTCAATCACGCCAATCACTTCGGCAAGTTGCCTGAATAACGAAATGGAAAATTGAACGGATAAATGGAAAAAAATGGAACAATTGGATGAAGGAGATAAGAATGATGAATCGCAATGGATGAATGGCAGTGGATGAATGGCAGTGGATGAATGGCAGTGGATGAATGGCAGTGGATGAATGGTGGCAGTCTCACCAACTTGAAGTTGCACACAGGTAGAGTGATATGCCAGAAACTTAAGGAACTTCCAAACACCTCTGTCAAAGAGGTTTGCAGAAGGCTGGTTTTCAGGACACCAATTCATACAAGTGCCATTCATTCATCACCAACCAAAATTCAATGGGAACAAGACATGTACGTGGGTTTAATGCACAGGGATAATGGCTAACTCCAAAAGAAATTTTAATCTTACCGAAGACAACAGATCCAATGGATCTTGCATCTGGCCGGAACCAGAGCTAGGGCTCGAGCCAGATCCCGAGCTTGGATTTAAATAATTCCATGACGAGAACTTGCTGGAATCGGTCGTAAACCGACGCTGCAGGTTTGCTCGAACATCACCAGCTGGGCGAGATGAGAATCCCGATCCAAAGTTCGAATGACCCGGGGAAAGAGAAGTGTACCCAGGGAACGCAGACTCCGAGGGCGGGGATCGTGGGGATGGGAAGCGCAGCTCGTCGAGGCGTTCACTCAGCCCATGCTTAAAGGCCATTGTGGGCAGCGCAGCCGAATTGTTCAACTATACGCCAAAAACGAGGTCCGGTCAGCAAATATAGGGAATTGTTGACGCCAAAAACGGATTTTTAGGGGAAGCTTCGCCAGGGAAGCAATTACGACTAGCCCCAGATCTTGTGATGCCACGTCCGGTGGCCGGAAAATAGCCGAATGGGAGGAAAGGGTGGGCTGGCGGTGTGTTGTCGGCGTCTCAAGCAAGGGGAAGTCGAGGAGAGGGGCTGAGGGGTTGGCCAGGCGGAGACGATCTGCGCTCGCAAAAAGGACCCAACTCACACAATGAACGCCTCGAGAGGAGTCAAATCTGGATGGCGAGAGAAGTGCTATACGATTTCAAGTTGCGCAAGTCATCTATGAGCAATTTTGATGGGAAATATCGTGTGTGCCTGACGGTGCGGAGATCAGCAGGGAGTCGCAGAGTGGGATAAAGCTCCTCTTACCGCTCCGACTTAGCGAACACTGAGGGATCGCGGTGAAATGAGCGTGTCGCGTGGGAAAATACAACCTAACAATGACCCAAACGAACGATACAAGACTGTTGTACAAAAAAGGGAGTTGCAAAAGGAGAAAAAGAGAAGAGGAAGAGGGGGAGAGAAAATGGCTGGGAGTCCAGATCGGAGCGGGGAGATCCTTTTTAGGAGATGACTGTGTTCTTTTTTTTTTTTTTTTAGAACTATTTTGTTTCTGGTTTTTTTTTATCCTTTTTCTTGTTGAGTTTATCTAGATAAGTGGCAATGATCTTTTGATCTTGTATTTATGTTGTTCATAGGAGTATTCTGAAGGTTCCCTAGTTATATATAAATTTTTGCTTCCACGGTCCGGGTAAAGCGCCAAATATACGTTCCCTATACTCTCTCTCTCTCTCTCCGCTTCCGTACTTCTCTATATATCGCCAACCCAACTTGATGGCCACAGCAGATGATCGGCCAGCATTTACTCGGAAATTGATCGGGTTCTATTGATTGGAGAGCTTCCGTTGTTTGTACCACTTAGGCGCTTTTGTCCCGGGAGGAGCCCGGGGTAATCAATGGGCTCTAGCTCCTGCGAGGCCTTATAGACACTACGAATGGTCAATTCCATGATGGACTGGGGACAACCTGGACTATACACGAGAGAAATCATTGTGCTAGGTCTCCAGTAAGGGGGGTTTCAATGTGCTGGTCGACAGAGCGTGGCATCTGCAGGTGCATTTGGCCCCTCTTGACCACTTGTGGAGACCGAAGTGACCAAAGTGCCCGAAGATGTGACAGCGGATTACCCTCTAGGTGTGGTTAGGCGCCTGTACCTGAATCCTAGACATGAACTGAAAGAGATAGGGGATTATTTTCTCCAATTTCAGACATATCAGACCGGTAAAATAGGGGTTGAATGAAAAATGGTTCGCATCAACTCATGGGATTATTTTGTTTTCTTTGTTCAGATCCAACAGTTCCTTTTTTTTCACCGGGACTCTTTTTCCATTTCTTCTTATACTTCTGGAATTTCCGTCGACTTCCCCATATCACATTCTGCACGATACGGGCTTTCAACGTCAGGACAAGCGGTGTAAGTGCCACCAGCGCTGATCCGCGTCGCTTGGAGCCCCTGATCCACCGAATGACAAGCATACCAGACGGCGGGGCTCCCCTAAACCCCAGTCATCCTTATTATTTTATTCACACATCGCGCGATCGCCAATCATGGGCCACTTTTTCCCCTCTATACATACATCGATGTATTATTGATTGACAATTCTAATATATTATTCTGGGTTTCGATCTGAGCCCAGTACTCGCTACGGTCTGTGCTGATCTTTGACCTGGAAAATCTCCAAGTGATAGTACATCGGTACATCGAACCCCAACTTTGTACGAACTAGTGTGCTAATATCGTCGTGGGATCCAATAACCACTATGATCACACTCGTAATACCAATAATTCTAAACAAAATGGGACTCAAAACCCACTTATTGACGCCCAAATTGAACCAAGTTTAATTACTTTCTTTCATGCCCAACGCCTGACTTGCGCCTCGGAAATTGACTGGCTGCCGTAGTTTTGAATCGCGAATCACAGTTCGAGGTCATTCGTAAAATGGACTCACTTTAGAAGGCACTGTGATTCTGCTTCGAAAAACATTGGCAAATAATATCTGAAACTCCCTAGGTAGAGTGGTCTCCGCCCCCTCCGCCCAACCAACCCCTGCTGCAAAAAGCCCTAGAATGGGTCTTCTGGACGATGTATTGATAACGAATACACCCCGGTCAATAGCATTGCTAATGCTTTTTCCTGTGGTCGCCTCGGAGGATACTGTACGAAGCACATAGAAATCGGATGGCAATGACCCCTGTCTCCCCAACCACGTGTAGCATTGCATACTTTCTAAATTTCTTTTGCTACAGCAATCAATTCCATCTTCAAGTACTAAGACGGATACATTGGGGCCATTTATTACGCGGATAGATCTATGCATTCGATCAGTAATGTAGTATTTCTCCGGAAAAAGGCGATCTTGCGGTGCATTTTGTGCCCACAAAGTAAAGGGTGGCAATTTCAAAGTTGCGGTCAACCCTAATAAATAATACATCGTTCACCAAGGACCCAGTGGTCCAATACTCGATAAATCATGTCCCACACGAGCAGTACAACTATAGCTACTAATAATAACCCTGGTATGCTGTGAAGGTATGCCTTGCGCATACTGCGTATATGCGGCGGAAACCCTCTTTTCCACGTCTTATACGTGACCGCTTTTTTACTAAAGGATGCTGTTCTCTATACAAAGTACTGTTGTAGATCGCCTCCCTCTAGAACCAAGTCAATCCTGATCAATAGTCCGTCCGTGCAGGCATAAAGGTCCGGGGCTGGCCTGCATGCGCAATGACCCACTAAATGTACTACCATGTCAATGGACAAATCCTTGACAACCTGGCAAGGTCTCGAAATTCAACCCTGCACAGAGTGCTCCATGCGCTCTGAAAAGTTGAAATCAATATAAATCATTCTTTGAATCAGTTTACGTTTAATGGTAAGCCCAAAACTGCTTCTTCGTCTATTTTTTTGAGACTCCTACTACCTCGGAGTTAAGGCCAGTATGCTCCGATCATTCAATCTTGTACTGTTACTTGACAACAATGGATTTAACTATAGATTCGGACAATTTAAGCATTCAATAACCAAGAAAGTACTTGGGGATATCGATTTATTTTGGCCTATGCTCGTTTTCGAGTTTTATTCTGGAATGATATACTAGGGTCGGCTCAAAATATATACCACAGATGGTCAATTCTCGTATCTTGCAACTACACAAAAATCTAGAATTGCTAAAATATCCCCCCAAGAGGAAACAGGTGAGCTCTGAATCTTCAGCCAAACTAACAGGTATGTTATGAATCGCAATCACTATCCCTGGTTATACAGAAAAGACGCCTGTACGTCTAACGTATATTGTACACCGTACAGTGATAAACCCGGCATGCCTATTCCGTGCTGTTATTCCCATCCCTAGTGGTACGTCTATAACCAATGATTAATTCTCTTCCTAGATATACCACCGAGAAGAAAAAGTGTCTAAAAAAAAGATATCGAAAAAGAACAACGAAAAAGACATTGGAGTGGTATCTGGCATCTAACACCCCTAACACCATATCGAGACAGATAAATCAGATTATCAAAGTCTTTTATCGTCAAGGACAGAGGCTGCATACGCGGCCAACTACTCTTGTTATTAGTTATAACATCAAGTAAGAGGCTCGATTGATGCCTCAGGCAACTATCAGTTCCAGCCCGCGGCTTATTAAGCTATCTCCAAATTCCTCAAATCTTCCCCCTCCAAGAGAATCCCTCTTGCGAGCTTCTCTTTGGACAACTGAGTAGTTTGATTGGGATATTTTTCTAAGTCGATATCTCTGCACCCCAGCTGCCTAACCAAAATGCCTCCGCGCAAGAGGCCACAGCCCTCTGCGGCCAGTCGAGCGCGACGTCCTTCAGAGGTAACAAAACTTTTTTTGCCGTCGCAAACCCCATACCTCCGATAATCATACTGACTGCTCTGCTTCTTGACTAGGCCGGAAACCAATCGGCGACTGATCCCACAAAAATCAAGCGCTCGTCCCAGTCCAACCCAGTTCCTGAGCCTCACCAGCATTCCGAGCCCAGAAAAGTTGAACCGGCTTCGAATTTCAAGGCTAGAGATCCATTCGATGCGCTTTTGGAACCATTTTACTACAACAAGGGACTCACAGACCCGATCGACACGGCCAAGGACAAATGGAACCTGCTGCCAGCGTTCCTCAAGGTCAAAGGACTAGTGAAGCAACACATTGACTCATATAACTACTTCGTGGAGGTGCAAATGAAGAAGATTGTCGAGTCGAGTTCAACAATTCGAAGTGATGTGGACCACAATTTCTACATCAAGTTTACCGATATTTACGTTGCCTCGCCTCGACGAGCCGACGAACAAGGCGATGGCGGAATCGATTTCGAATCTACGATCACGCCCCAAGAGTGCAGACTACGAGACACTACATACGCCGCACCCATTCTCGTTGACTTCGAGTATGTCCGTGGCCGGCAAAGGGTTATCCGACGAGCAGTTCCCATCGGAAGAATTCCGATCATGCTCCGCAGTTCTAAGTGTGTGTTGTCGAATAAAACGCCTGCTCAGATGAGCGTCCTCAATGAATGTCCCCTTGACCCCGGTGGTTACTTTGTCGTCAATGGAACAGAAAAGGTCATTCTTGTACAAGAACAATTAAGCAAGAACAGAATTATCGTCGAAACCGACCCAAAGAAAGATATTGTCCAGGCATCGGTTACCAGGTATGCTCACGTCCAACAATTTTTGTTCTTCCATCACTAACACCCGCAGTTCCTCCAACGAGCGTAAATCTAAGAGTTACATTGTCTCTAAAAAAGGCAGACTCTACGTTAAGCATAACGTGCTCAATGAAGACATCCCGATCGTCATTTTGCTCAAGGCTATGGGAATCCACACCGACAAGGAAATGATGCAGATGGTTACTGGTGATGACAGTCTGTATCAAGATGATTTCGCCATAAATTTCGAAGAGGCCATCAATGTCGATGTTTACACTCAGCAACAAGCCCTTGAGTGGATCGGCTGTCGCATCAAGATCAACCGCAAACAAGCCGCTTATCGCAAGACTCACGTGCAAGAGGCAGTCGAGGCCATTGCATCTGTCATTATTTCTCATATCGAGGTCAAAGACATGAACTTCCGACCCAAGGCTATCTACGTTGCTCACATGGCCCGTCGCGTTCTGATGGCAAAGAGTGACCCGGCCCTAGTGGATGACCGTGATTATCTTGGAAACAAGCGGCTGGAGCTGGCGGGTCAGATGTTGGCCCTTCTTTTTGAGGATCTGTTCAAGAAATTCTGTTTCGATATTAAGATGAACATCGACAAAGTCCTGAACAAACGCAACCGGGCCGAGCAGTTCGATGCTTGGACTATCGTGACTATGCATGGAAATCATATCACTCAGGGTATGAATCGAGCCATCTCCACAGGAAACTGGAGCTTAAAGCGTTTCCGTATGGAGCGTGCGGGTGTCACCCACGTTCTCAGTCGATTGAGTTACATTGCAGCTCTCGGTATGATGACCCGTATTAGCAGTCAGTTCGAAAAGACCCGGAAGGTCAGTGGTCCTCGTGCCTTGCAACCGTCCCAGTTCGGAATGCTGTGCCCTGCAGATACCCCTGAAGGTGAGGCATGTGGTTTGGTCAAGAACTTGGCCCTCATGACGCATATCACGACCAACGACGAAGAAGGACCGGTGCGAAACTTGATATTCATGCTCGGTGTCGAAGACATATCGAGTGTTGGTGGACAGCAGCTCTACGCTCGGGGTGCTTACACAATTTCTATCAACGGTACGCCGACTGGTTTGACCAGACGCCCCAAGTCCTTCCTCAATGCTTTCCGAAGACTACGCCGTATGGGCCGGGTTTCGGAATTCGTCAGCATTTACATCAATCACCACCAGCGAGCGGTTCATGTCGCGACCGATGATGGACGAATCTGCAGACCGCTTATCGTTGTGGAGAATGGCAAATCTCTTGTCGGCGTTGAGCATCTCGAGAAGTTGCGCGATGGAAAAATGGAGTTCGACGACTTCCTTGCGCAAGGGCTCGTTGAATACCTTGACGTGAACGAAGAGAACGACTCCTACATCGCTATCTACGAGAAGGACATCTCAAATACTCACACGCATCTTGAGATTGAACCCTTCACAGTCCTTGGAGCTGTTGCTGGCTTGATCCCATATCCCCACCACAACCAGTCCCCCCGTAACACCTACCAATGTGCCATGGGTAAGCAAGCTATTGGGGCCATTGCTTCCAATCAGTTCCAGCGAATTGATTCCATTCTTTACCTTATGGTCTACCCACAAAAGCCAATGGTCAAATCACGAACCATCGAGTTGACAAAGTACGACCAACTACCTGCGGGTCAGAATGCGACTGTTGCTGTCATGAGTTATTCGGGCTACGATATTGAGGATGCTCTGGTCCTGAACAAGGGATCCGTGGACCGTGGCTTTGGACGTTGCCAGGTCTTCCGCAAGTACGTCACGACGCTCAAGAGTTACCCCAACGGAGCCAAGGATTCTCTCAAAGGACCGACATACGAGGATGGTGTTCCAATCCGCAAGCATGCGCTTCTCGAGTCTGATGGCTTGGCTGCAGTCGGCGAAATGGTCAATTCCGGTGAAAGCTACATCAACAAGGTCACACCCAGAGTACAAAATTCCTTGGGGATCACCAGCTCCAACATTGGCGGGGGAGATGTCATCGAAGCATCCATGACCTACAAGCTGCCTGATCCTTCCTACATCGACAAGGTTCTGGTATCTGCAACCGAAGGCGAGACCCAACTCATCAAGGTCCTGACCCGGCAAACTCGTCGCCCCGAGGTCGGCGATAAGTTCTCTTCTCGTCACGGACAGAAGGGTGTTGTTGGAATTATTGCAGACCAGGCGGACATGCCCTTCTCAGACCAAGGCATCAATCCCGACATTATCATGAACCCCCACGGTTTCCCCTCTCGTATGACAGTCGGAAAGATGCTGGAGCTAGTCGCTGGTAAAGCAGGTGTGCTGTCCGGCCAACATGGCTACGGTACTTGTTTCGGCGGTAGTCCCGTCCAAGAAATGTCCCAGATCCTGATTGAAAAAGGTTTCAGCTATGGTGGCAAGGACTATCTCACTTCCGGTATCACCGGTGAGGCTTTGCCTTTCTACGTTTTCACTGGTCCCATCTACTACCAGAAACTGAAGCACATGGTTCAAGATAAGATGCACTCCCGTGCCAAGGGTCCCACTGCTACTCTTACCCGCCAGCCTACCGAGGGTCGTTCACGTAACGGAGGTTTGCGTCTGGGTGAGATGGAACGTGATTGTTTGATTGCGTACGGTACCAGTCAGCTGCTGCTGGAGCGTCTGATGATTTCGTCTGATCGCCACGAGGTGGATGTGTGCGAGCAGTGTGGTTTCATGGGCTATCTGAACTGGTGTCCTGGGTGCAAGTCGTCTCGTTCCGTTGTGAAGATGGTTATTCCCTATGCTGCTAAACTTCTCATTCAAGAACTGATGAGTATGAATGTTACGGCTCGTTTGAAGCTTGATGATGAGTTCCCTGAGATGAAGGGACGTTAAGCTCTGGACTTGGCTTTGGGTCGACTGGAGTTTGGGATAATCAAAATGGGACATGTGCATACTTGGTCTTACGAATGAATGGCATAGCGCGGCGATTTAATATCATCTTTACCCACTTATTCTTTTCTGTAGCACGTAGCTGGAGCTTCAACCACAGCACATTGGATTGACAGAACCATTGCGGAAGTAATCTTCATATAAAAAAAAAGTTCCATTTGAAGAAAAAGCGGAGGAAAAGAAGGAACGAAAAAGAAACCACAAATTAGAGCATCAAAATATTCGACTCAAAAGCCACATGCTGATAGCGAGTAAACTCTTCCATCTCCTGCAAAAGCTTGACCCTTGTACCCAAAGCCTCCTCCAGACTCATCGGCATATTACCCTTGGACTTCATATTATCAAGCGCCACCTTTTGCATAGCTTCCTTGAGCCCAGCCCCACTCTCTGGCACCTCCTTAGTCCAATCCAGTCGCTGCGGCGGGATATTGGCCGTGGAGATGATACGGATATTAGGATCGATAAGGAAAAATGCCACGGCGCGCGCTGTCCCAGGCTTAGTCTTGTCCTTTAGCTCGAAGCGCGTGAACTTGTGTTGTATGGTGCTCGGGTACATGACTGTTCGGCCTACTTTGGCGCGGATGGCACCTGGGTATTGGATGGCCGGTTCGCCATTTTCCAGACCAAAGACTTGCTTCAGCCAGATGAAGTCATTTGGCTCGTGCTCGATTTCTGCGAGCGTGTCAGATTCTACCATGGTGCGGAATTCCATGTACGGGTCTAGTACGTTGTCGTGGCTGTATGGCATGAATGCCGCGGCGCAGATGTGCTCATTCTGGTTCATGTGTTATTATTACCAAGTACTGCGGCGGAACTCATGGAGCTTTCGAACTCACCATCGTGCCCTCAACATGCCATTCCGTCTCGAAACACGGCTCCTCCGGGGTTAGATCAATGCCCAACACACGCGTGATTACCTGCACTCCACGTTCCTTGTAGTCCCGGCCGAGGTCAACGCCTCGTTCAATCCGAACGGCACTGGGCAGGTCCTTGGGAAGTTTGTCCATCAACCAGGGTGGGACTGCCCAGGGAATGAACTTGCCTGCGTCTGGTTGGATAGCACGGTAGTTCTCTAGTCTCCATTTCTCCATGCGCTCATCAAACTCACTCTGCGCCTCTCTTGGATGCACCTGAGGTGCCTGTGCAGTAACTTCCTTTGGGACTGGATAATATTCCGCCTTGTGGTATTCGATTCGGGCACGGGAATGGAGCATGTCTTTGAGGGGAGTCAAAGTGGCGTTCCACTGTGGAACGATGCAATTGAAAACCTTCTCGATGAGTTTGTAGATGTTTCGATATTTGACTGGGTGCAAGTTGTTGATGTATGTGGCTATGTGCCATTGGCCATCATCGCGAAGTTCCCAGTCGGAAGGAAGGACCTGGTAATTTCGGCTGTAGGGCCGAACCTTGATATCTGCCCGAGCCAAGACACGCCATGCAATGTCTTCTCTGGTTATTCCAGTCTCCTTTGGAATTGGGATCACTTCGCCCTGGCCGACACACTTGAGGGCATCATCGACCCCAATGATCCTGTCGGTGAGAATGCGGGTCGTGCCGTAAACGAGCGGATACAATGCCATGGAAATGAGGTCTCGCTCTTTGCCCAGCACTCCTGGATAGTAGTACTGCAGCTCTTTCTTATCGACCTCTAGCACCTCGAACTGGGATATCATATCGCGCAAGATCGACTCAGACAGGTTTGTGTCGGACTTGGTGACATCGCCGTTGTACAGGGCAACTACATCCGTGGTCTCGTAGACCATGGCTTTAAATTGAAGCTCATCAATCATCCACTCGGCCATTTTGAGCGTAATGTCTTTGCCACTGTTCATGGCGGACTTTTTCCACTTCTCTTGCGTCTCGGGGTCAAAGACCTGAAGCGATTTCAGCGGAATGATCAGTCTCGGTTGTATTGACACTGACCTTTTTCCACCACTCAGGAATATCAGTCAGATGCTCCATGAACTCTACCATATCGATCTCACGGAGGGTCAAGACGGGCATGCTAGAAGAAATTTCAGCATTGAGCACCTCTCAGGTCTTGGAGATTCTGCAATTACTTCACGTATCCTGCTTCGATATCTCTATCATCCGCCGCAGATGGAAACACACTCCGGCTTTCAACGCCGTATATGTTTTTCTCGAACGGAGCGAAGTCTAGCGGCCGGTTGAATCCTGGAAGAGCAAAACGACAGTCTTTCTGTGCCTTGGTGTTAAGGAAATTCGGCACCGTGGCCTGGTGTTGGAACATTGTTGCGTTTACTCAAGAACGGTATGACAAGGCAAAGTCCTCAAGAATGATATGGTGATGAGATGATCTATCTTGCTCGGTCAGAGTAACACAGTGCCAACGAAGGGCGCCAAACCCTACTTCAACGAGGTATATTTTGCAATGGCCCGCACAATATCAGACACAATCATTAGAGTAAGTGAGATATGATGATTCACATGGGAGAAGACTGAAACAGATAAAGCTGGGGACACTTAAAACGAGGGCCAAAGTAATGATGCAGGGGTGTCGTCTTATTTCAGGGTATATCGCAATGATGCTCTAGGGAGGGAGCTGCGGAACTTGGCTCCGGGCCGTTCGGCCCTTAGTTTTAACAATTGGCGTATGTCTGAGTGATCTTGGGGAATCAGTCATAGTGATTCAACAGCCTGACCACGGAACTGCGAAACTTTGCTGTATGGTCAAAATTGACCTTCAAAGGTTCGACGGAAACAATTTCCTCTAGGGCTGTTCCTTGCGTCTATATAATTTGAAGAAAAGGATATTTGTGCATAGAGGAAAGCAGATATACATGGTTATCGCACAGCATGAGGTTTATCATGTAACATCTAGTCTTCCAGAGGCCAAAGCAAAACCGAAAGGCAAAATAAAAAGGAATGGGCGATCACGCCGATACCAAGGTACCCAAGTACTCTCTAACAATGCCCCAATACCGATCGGGCTCAGCTCTCATATGTCCAACATGAGGGGAGCTTTTGAACAATTCACGGCGCACCGCCCAACCCTCAGCCTCGGCGTTCACAGCATGAGATTCCACATCACGCCAGTCCACTAAATCATCTGTATCGGAGTAGATATAGCAACGACTGAGAGTCCCGCCCGGGTCAGCCGTCCGCACCAAAGATGTATCATTGATGAACTTCCGGGCAAGGGAGATAGGATCCGGAAACATGGGAAAGGAATGGATCAACTTGAAGAGAACCATGAAAGCAAAAAGCAAGCTTTTGCCAAGTAGTCGCAAGATCCACATCCGCGGAAGCGCAAAGGAGAAAGCCTTGAGTCCCGCTCGTAGGCTCGGACTGCCCGGTGCGCTGTCTAGGATCATTCCTGACATGGGCAATGGGGTCCCTGTAGTATGCTTCCAGGTTTGCAATAAGTGTGCCGTACTCGACATGCCTCCATTTGAGAAAAAGTGCACAAAAACTGGATTTTCAGGGGTCACTAGACCGCGCATTGCTTCCACGGCTGGGGCGACGCGGGCTCTCTGGGTCTGAGTCCCCAGGCGCCAGGTGAAGTCATTTGATGAGCTTGCGACGAAGATAATTCGCGCTGATGGTACTAGTCGTCTGTACTCGACCACATATTTCGCTAGGGCGCGGGGGGGTGCATTCATCCAAAAAGCAAGAAATATCACTGGCCGATCCGCCTTCTCGCTTGGGGGCGGGTCTTGGAGATAGACCGACGGGGCAAGTCTGACAAATGCCGACAAGGGGGTTTCAGCTGTTGTGGCCATGATGCAGCTCCGAGTCGGAGTACCTGGTCTAAGATCAATAATGTAGTCGATTGCAGGCCTGTGGACGGGCGATCCTCGGCTTGCCAAGAGCCGTGCGCACTAGCCAAACTATACGAGGCTGTTCCTGGCCATGAGCATGACTTACCTGCTAGCTGAATTCATGTGCAGGCATATGTATAAGACATGTTCGCTTGTTCCAAAGGAGATAGAAAATTTTCAATCCTTGGGAGTGTTGTCAGATACCCCAGATTCCCCGACATCCCGAGATTCGGAGGTAAAAAGACTGCAAACTAATACCACTGGCTTGAAAACCAAGATCAGAACTGCTTACGAGCGATATGAAGACAGTGAGGTTTATTGGAAGGGATTTTATGTATTCAATTGAAAGAAACAACTCCCCCAACGCCACGTTGAACCTTGCTATGCCCTCGAAGGAAATCCCGCCGCAGAATTTAGAGATTCCTACTATCTAAAAGCCCAGGAGTGTCATGAAAGTGTAGGTTAAATAGATGATTGTAGCCATCAGCGCTTCCCCAAAGTTCGACCACCGCCGTCGGAATTTTTAGTGTTTTCCTTGCTCTTTTGGCTTTCAACCTCACTTCCCGAGGCGGTGCCAGAGTCGGACAGATCCTTTCGCTTCCCACGCAAAGTTTGTCCAATTCCTTGGAACTTGGGCTGGTCATCTGGGACAATTAGACCATTCTCATCACGGGGTTTGACGGGTTTGATTGTATACCCGAAGAAGAGCTGATTGGGCGGGAGTCGAAGAGGTTGCGGGCCGTTGCTTCTTCGGATTGGAGGTGGATGCGAGGAACTTGAGGCACCAGGGGTAGGAGTGGAGGGATTAGGTGTCGGATTCTTGCTACCCTTCTTAGCATTCAGACGCTGTCCTCCAGACAAAAAGTTGGATGATGCCGCACGGGCACCTGCGGCAGCATCGGTGGCCTCGGGGGCAATGGCGGGGTAGTTGATCGATTGTGCCATGGTGCCATGGGGGTGCAATAGCCCACCAGCCGGAAGCTTTCCACCGCTAATGACGCTACCAGGTGTGCTGGTTCCGCTAGTCCGCTGTGGTTCTTCGAATCCAACTGGAGCGGCGAAATCAACCTCCAAGTCGGTCTCTAGAACGGACACAGCATTCTTGGTCCCAGAGGGTTTTGTTTCAAGCACTGCCATCTCATATACTTGATCATTGTATGAAAAAGTGAACACGTCGCCTTTGGAAAGACAGGAGAAATTCCGGAAGGCGTTTTCTAGCACAGCCTTTGGGTCACTAATATCGAGGAAAGAGGTTGACTGTGCCTGGAGTTTGATGAACTGGCCGGGAGGGAGGTCTGTCGATTTGATTTGAAGAAGATCGCCAGGTTCCAGTAGTAATGTTTGCATGAGCTGTAGAGAACCGAGTCTTAGTACAGTCACAACACATCGAGGAGTCTGTCTTACTCACCCAAAATGGCAAGTATATCTTTCCTTCTTCAGCAATGAACTCAAGGACACCTGCATGTGTCATCTTCTCTTTCGCGCCATTGTGAAGCTCGAATAACATCGGATAGGTAATATGAAGTCGGGTAAGCTTGTCCAATGCGCTGGGTGGCATGATGACCTTGCCGCCATGGTTCACATTCTCTCTTTCAGGGCCAGGAAGCATTGCCACTGGATAGCAGCGATAGTATTCATCGAAGCGACGGGACGTAGCACCCGGGCGCGCCATGCCAGCACCTAGGACTCCATCCATGGGGTCGTCGGACCAGTAACCAGGTCGATACTAAAGCTGTTAGTTGGGAGGATCGAGATTAAGAGAGCGAGATTGAAAGTTTAAATTGACTCACCATCTCAAGTTCTTGTAGTTCAAAAGACTAAAGATGGGTAAAGAGAAAGTTGATCGTGAGATCGAGTTTATTTGAGGTACAATATGCTGCTCTCTGGATCGCCGTCAGTGACGCAGCTCGCTCCGCCATGATTTTCCGCTCCGACCCCGGACAAGGAAATCAGCTCTCTCTGAGGCGATTTACCTTTCAATTCCGCGCACCATCATTTTCCTCATTTCTTTTCAACTGAATCCCCCAATAAAAGAGCCATGTCGAGCTCCTTCCCGCGCCCCAAACGCGCCGGCGAAGATTTCGCCAGTACCCACTACAATGACGACGGCGAGGATTCCTCAGAGCACAAGAAGCCCCGCTTCGATCTTCGCAACCCCTCAGCTCTTGCAGCTGATGCGCCGGAAGAGGACGCAGTACTCGATGCCGATGAGATTGGCAGACGTGGCCAGAGAATAAGACGCAAGGCGGTTAATCTCGAGGGTTACGATTCGGACAGCGAGAACGAGGGGTTTTCCGCGCGCACAGAAGATAAACCCAAACGCAAACAAGCCAAGGAAGACGCGGAAGACGATGACATGTTTGCAGAACTAGAAGAAGACTTTGGCGAAGAGGAAGTCGACGGCGATGAGGTTATAAACAAGAACAAGAAGTCCGTTCGCTTCCTACGAGACGATGAGATCGAGGGCCAAGTCGCTTCTTCAAAAGGCGGAGGAGCACTGCATGTCGACCTGAGCAAGGGTGCGGCAGAAATCATTGACGAGGAAGATGAAAGTGATAGTGAGGTTGGGGAAGAGGAGCGCGCCCGAGTCGATGAAGAGGTGGACGAGGAACTTGGCGCGGGTGGGAAGAAAAAGCACGCACCCCTACTGGATGCTTTCAACATGCGAGCAGAGCAAGAGGAGGGTCGATTCGACGACCAAGGCAACTACGTCCGCAAAGCAATAGACCCCGATGCAGCCTACGACTCGTGGTTGGAGGGTGTCTCTAAGAAGGATATAAAGAAGGCCAAAGAAGCTGCTGAGCAACGCGATGCAGAGCGCAAAGAGAAGGACCGAATGGACGACAGCATTTTGACAGCGGATGTCCTGAAGACGATCATTATCAACCTCGAACGGGGCGAAACAATACTCGAGGCACTGGCCCGACTGGGCAAAGGCCTTCACCGAAGGCCTAAGTGGCAAAAGAAGAAAAACAAGAAGAACGCTGTCGAGGATATCGTGATGACAGATGAGGACCCCACCGAAGTGGCCCAGAAGAAGGCAATTGATTCTATTACTGGCGCCGCCGATATCTTAATGGGCCGTGGCCAAATAGACATCTACGACACAGAGCGTGAAATGCTCACCCGGCAGTACCGCAACGCCACGGGTGAGGATTGGGTTGACCCTCCTACAAACGGGGTGACTGAGCAAGGTCCTGCCCTGTGGGAATATCGGTGGTCTGACGCTAGAGATGGAGGGGATGCCCATGGGCCATACGATAGCGCAATGATGGACTCATGGAAGAATGCGGGCTACTTTGGCGAAGGCGTCGAGTTCCGTAAAGTTGGAGATTCAGGGCCGTGGAGCGGCGCTGTCGATTTCTTGTAACATAATCCCTCCATATCAGCTACGATATTGCTTTCGCTACACAAAATACCATTGATGAATGAAATATTAATATCAGATCCTCAGAACAGAGGACTGCAATTGAATCTCAAAGGCCAAAATCACCTCAACAAGCGCCAGTCCTATCATACATCGTTTGATGCGACAAAAAAAAATAAAAATAAAGATCCAGTGTAGTTTTTTCGACCCGCTTAACTGCCCACCGAATAGCCCAGTAAAACATGCAACCTAATTAAGAAAGCTCCATGGCATCGCCATTGGCAGTCGCAGTGAAGCTAACGGCACCTTGGTCACCAATGAAGCGCTGTTCATATTGATTGACGAACTTTACACTCCGAGCGGGGTCGTAGAACAATCGGAAGCTGCGCTGGACGTCATCAACGCTGACCTCCTTCGCCTTGCGTTTTTGACTCAAGAGGTGCGAAGTAGTGATAATGTTACTGGCATAACGAAGATTCGACTCCTGGCCAATTTTGGTGAGAAGGGCGAGAGCATCAGGCGAAAGGTCGATTTCTTCTTCCTGCGCCCGGATGGCGAGGATTTGACGAATCTCGTCACCAGAGTACATCTGTGTGCTGACGATAACAACCCGATCGAGGAAGTCAAGGGGTAGGCCGTGGGGAGAAGTGTAGGTAGTTCCGCGGATGCGTGCCTGGCCGCGATTGCTAGCCATGATGACGATAGGGGCCAACTCAGCCTCAAGGGCACGGTTGATGTAAGAGTAACACTCAATATCGAGCATGTGAACCTCGTCAATGAAAAGAACACCAGGAATAATCTCTGCCTTGCCCTCTTCTTTCCATTCAGCTACCTTGGTATTGATCTGGTCCCGAACTTCACTCCGAATCTCGCCCGTATCGCCGGAGAAGAGGGCCAAGAAGCCTTGTGAACGCGAGTTAATTACGTCGATCTCGTGGAGGCTGACGGTGTGAACGATCTCCTTGCGAACTTGAAGCTCGCCTTCGGGGCATTGGACAAACTTCGTATCGGCGCCCATGGCGTCGTAGTCTCGAGAGCGTGCGTATGAGCGACCGAGCTTGGTGATCTTGCCGGAGGACTTGTCGATCGAGATCACATCGCCTGCCATTACTCGTTCCTTGGTCATCGAATCAATCATCTTGGTTCCCATGTCGTAAATCGTTTCCATGTCCGTGGTCTTGATTGTGAGCTTTCCTTGTTTATTGCCCTGCAGGTAGTCAGTATCAACAGTCATTGATTCGTTTTGTGTAAAGAATCCACTCACGCCAGTAACACTTCGGTCAATTTGAATCTCCACAACTTCACCCTCAATGATTTCACTCTCTTCCTTAATACGCACACCGATGGACTTCCGGAATGCTTGGGTAAGGGCTTCTGTCTTCGACATCTCCATTGAGAAAATTTCAGAAGCGGCAAGCATGGTGAAAGGTACGTCGGGTCCGAGAGATTGTGCCATGCCCATTGCAAGTGCTGTCTTTCCAGTGCTAGGAGGTCCTGCGATTAGAACAGCGCGACCGGCAATCTTGCCTTCCCTCACCATCTGCAAAATCACTGCGGCGGCCTTCCGGGCCTTTTCCTGACCCACAAGGCCTTGAGATGATGTCCGAGGCTGAAGAGTGTCTGCATCGACACCGAGGCCTCTGATATGGGAATGGGCCGCGATGAGGTTCAGTCCCCGGAGCTCCTTGCCCTCTGCGACAGTCGAGATTGGCTGTTTTAGTGTTAGCAACTGTGGAAATATGATAGACGTATTGTAACTCACTACAGCCATGTTTGAAAAATTCCAGACGGAAATGTATTTTGAACTGGAAGATTATGTTGGTAAAATGCGCCAGAGCTCTAGAAAAGCAAAAGAAGAGAGAGAGCCAGGGCAGATCGCAGATCGAAGTGCTCCGTCACCGCCCGGCAGAATAAGCCCTCAAAGAAACGGGGACCCGTTTGACATCATTTATATCTGCGTCACTTTTTCCAATTTACAGATTTGGTGCTCATCGCGTCTTGATCTGACTTTTGTGGTTCTTCTGACTATCCTAAGGGGAATCAATTAGGCATTTGCAACAACGCTCATACCTACACGCACCATACCTGTTTTCGCGTGGTGTACGCGTTCCGCACTTTTGCACACCCGTAATAAATACCCTTTCACGGGCTCATGGTACATTGAGAAAGCAAAATTGCGCCTTAAGTGTTCCATTCTGGGACATGGGCGCACACTGTATCACTTGAGTCAGCCTCCCAAACACCACTTCAGTTCTGTTGCAAATACGATGAGTATTTTGCGATACATTCATTTCATGGAATATGACCAGCAGAATGGATGTCGACCCTCCTAACCCAAATCTCCCTAAGCGACTCTCAGGCCGACTCTTTTCTGAGACACCACAGACAACGACCAAAGCGCAAGATCCTCGGCTTGCCGGTACCGTTAGGCAATCAATTAATCCTCATCCGTCAAACGCCCAACAAGCACACCCTACGACTCCCACAAAACCTGCCTTCATCACAAGAACTCCTACAAACCCCCTCCCACAAGTGCCTCCACTCTCGATCCCTAACAGTGCCCTGAGCCCTAGGTCCACAGAAAGCCAAAGTGCCTCCGATCAACAAAGCACATCATTTATCTCAGATTTGGTCAATTCATTGATCAAAGTGAACAAGGGCGAGGAAGAGAAAGAGAGACTCCAAAAGGAAATAGCTTCCATCAACAAAAACCTACAGAGGGCGAAGCAATCTCAACAATTCCCCAGTGTCATCGCTCTCTTCCAACAGCAGCTGGACGTGGCCAAAGATGAATTGGCCAACCATGTCAAATCTATCGTGCAGCATCGATCACTCTCCAAGCAGGCGCAGGATAATTTCGACTCGACATTGTTGCAGTCGAAGCTTCAGGCTCAGCTCAAAAACATACCCGAGAGGGTCACGAGTCTGGAGTCCACAGTCAAAGGGATGGGGCAACGTCCTGAACCAACCGCCGGCGGTGATGATCCAACGAAAGGGAATATCGAAATCGGATCAGCCCAAAAGGACTTGCGAAGCCAAGATATCGCTGAACTCAAAGAAAACCTTCGCCAAGTGCAGCATACCATCAATAATCCCGACGGATTGCCGAAGGCACTGGAATACATGATGAAAATTGCGAACTCAGTTGCTCGTCAATCTACAAAGATTGGTCAATTCACAACACAAATTTCACAGCTTGAGGATGAAGTGAAAGATGTCGACAAGAAGCTTGATGACAAAGTTGCTACCGTTGAAAAAATGGTGGATACCATCGAGGAAGAACTGAAAATTTCCAACGAGCAGCTTGAGACCAACATTTCTGACGCTAGTTCCAAATTGAAAACTACGAATGAACAGGTTCAGATCAAGCTTTTCTCCATTGAAAGCGATCTCAGATCCCTCAATACTAAGCGACGTGATCTGAATAATCGCGCGTCGACTCAAGTTTCACAAATTGAAACTGACTTGGAAGCTCAAAGGAAGCAGGCCACGGAGCAGATTACCGCCCAGGAAAATCTGGTGGCATCACTCAGAATCCAGCAGCAAAACATTGACAACGGCGACCGACTCTCATCAGAAGGAACCCCAATTACCCATAGTGGGGTGCTTACAAGAGTAGCGTCTCTGGAAAACAAAATCCAGAGTCACGCAGGACTTCTTAACAATATTAAGAAACTCCATAAGGAGGTAGATCTCCTCCGTCTGTCCGAGCTGGCTGCCTTCCGCCAGAACCAAGAGTCGAGTCAAGCAAACCTGGAAGCAAGACACAATGAGACTTTGCAGAAGGTGGAGGACCTGGCTAAAAAATCAGAGGAAACGACCAAGAATCAAACGGACATCACCACAGAGTTTCACCAACTTCGGTCGTCCTTGCCAGCGACCTTGGAGCAGTGTCGAAGCCATCTTCAAACTGGGCTAGATGGATTAGAAAATCGCCTTGCTCCAGTATCTGACCTTGCTCGGGCTTTAACAAAGTGCGAGGACAAAATGGAGGCTCACGTCAGGGCTATTCGGTCACTAGAACAACGATATAGCAACATCACCACAGGGGACTTGGTCGATCGCATGGCATGTGCCATGCAGAAAATGTACCCCTCTGTTGATCAACTGAGTCGACAATTGACGGCCCACCGAACCGAAATTGAAGCCAGAATTTCTGCGCTCAAGACAGACGTAGACGCGTTTAAAGCGGACACAGAGTCATTCAAGGCAGATACAACAAAGGCCCAGGCCAGTGCAGAGAGGCCTCAAGCAGCACAGGCGTCACCAGAGCAGCTCCAGACTTTGACTCAGTTACCGACTTTACTTCAACAGGTCAAAGACCTCTCTGATAAGCTTGTACCTATTGAGAGTCTCCTCCACGAGCATGGTGTTGAGTTGCAGAGAAACCTTGAACTGCGAAGCGAAATACAAAACAGGATCACAGCCCAAGACGACACCATCGGAGGCATTGCTCAAAAGGCCGATGAGCGGGTGGAAGAACTCGAAACGCTCACCAAGTCCACGGAACGGATCGATCCATTCATCACGGAGGCCAATGCTCAAATCTCGCAAATCCAAGAAATTCGACGAAAAGTCGACGAGTTAACTCAAGCTGCGGAGAGCAACGCTACCGCATCGACAGATCTCGGCGACCTCCAGAGACAGCTGAAAGGCTTAGAAGATCGGAAAAAAGCGGATGATGCAGCTCTTGACGCACTCCGGAAAGAGCTTCAAGACTTGAAAGATCGGAACGCAACCGACGATAAATATTTCGGCGAACTCCAGGGACAGCTGAAAGCTTTTGAAGATCGGAGACCACCGGTATCACTGGAGCAATTCAATGGCCTAAGAGAGGATGTGAATATGTACATCAAACGTCTGAGGAATGCCGAAGACACGTTCAAGTCACTTGGAAAAGAAGCAATGGATCCCGATGCTAAAGAAGCAACGTATCCCGATACCCTCGATAAACCAATAGGGCAGCGCATCGATGGGCAGCAGACACCTCAGTCCCGACCAAATGACCGTTCTCTTACCCCAAGGCCTCCCGTGACATCCAAGACAGTCGCCAAGGGCCCCACGCTAGGTGGATATCAGCCAGTCCAACTCAACGGGAAGGGCCAGGCCGACAGCTCTACAATAAGCGCTTCAAAGTTGAAACATTCCACCTTGCAAGCCCGACAGCCATCGCAGACGCCCAGTGGCCCTAGTAGCAGTCAGCTATCGATGTATGCTGGCAAATCTGTCGAACCCCGTCAAGTTCAAAATCTGAAAGGAAAGCGACGGGTGTCCTCTGTAATAGACTCTGATGAAGAGAGGAACAGAACTGAACCCTCTTCGGTAGTCGAGCTTTCGCCAGCTCCCAGCTCTTCTGCCCCATCAAATTTAAACCAGGTCCCTAGCAGAAAGGAGAAAAAAAAAGCAAAGAAGAGAGCGGAACAGGCCGAGAACCCCAACGCTTTAAGCAGACCGGGCAAGAGGCGAAAACGAAGCAAGCAGGATGAGTGAACCGGTTCAAACCTGATCTCATAGATCCCAGGTTTTCCGTATCTGTCGCCATGCGTCTCTTCTTCCCCCTCCGTCCTGAATTACAACTTGCCATGCGAACCATCGATGTTTGCGCGAGTCAGCTTTAGAAGCATTATTAGATACGTTTTCGCCACTGGATAGGCTCAAAGCCTGATCGGCGATTTGCTACCCATCCATTAAATCAATATTACTCAGCATACCACTGGGTGAATTATTATTGTACATGGAAATCCCTATGCATATACGTCTAAAGTCTAAAATCACGTGATATATACTTGACCCCAATTATGTCGACTCTAAAAACTTTACGACAGCTATTATCATCGTGTAAGCATAAAATATTATTGATTATTGTCGAGAAGAGGGAATTACCTTGGCGGAACGCTTCGGGGTTCTCAGAAATAACCCAGTGACCCGCTTCGACGTCCACAATTTGCGCATTGGGGAAGAACTTCTTGATGGCCGGCACAGTGTCATCCGAAACATACTTAGACTTAGTGCCACGGACAAAGAGCGTGGGGCCGTTATATCGGAGGTTATCGGATTCCTTGAAAGGGAAATCGGCCATATGATCCAACGAACCACCGATGATAGATAGCGGCACTCGGAACTTGAGTGTGTTATCTTCCTCGGAGCGTATCAAGTTGGTAAGAAGGAATTGGCGGATTGGAAGAGACTGGACAGTTGTTAGCACGCAAACATGTACCGTAGAGTGCCAGGCTCATGGCCACCCGTCTCCCCTAATCGTCAAAAAGATAAACACGATACCTCTTCATATTCCTCGAGAATTTTGTTGGCATCGGATTGCTTCGATACCTTCGCGGCTTCGATTTTCTGCATGCCCCGAATATATTTGGGGAAATCGCTCTTCAGTGCTGCATTCACCGGTGCGTTGTCAACGGGGATCAAAGCTGACACGCGTTCGGGGACGCGCAGTGCTACTGCCATTGCAGCTTTGGCACCCCTTCACCGATTATTAGTATGACAAGATACACAATATAAATCATTCGTGTGCATGCGTGCACTCAAAATGCGGATATGACCACGTACATGGAATGCCCGATTAGAACGCATTTGTCCAGTTTCTGCTGTTTGATGAATTTCTGCACATCCTCCGCCATGGTACCGTAATTGTGCTCAGAAGCATGGAAAGAATGGCCATGGTTACGCAAATCCTGTTTAGATTTGTTTAGCATTCTCGAATAACGTTTTTTCGTGTCTATCCAAGGACAAGCGGAAACTTACCAGTGCAAAGATCTGGCATTTCAGATCCCGCGCCAAAGCCCTGAGAAATATGTAAGAATATGGATTTTTATTTAGATATCTGATAAAAAAAAACATACTTGCCAATACTCCTGTTGTTTTGCTTTGATCCAAATAGCCCGTGTAGAATCAGGATAGGATCTCGGATAGCTTGGCCGTTTTCCGGGCCAAAGACCTGATATGCCAGCTCAGACCGCAGCATACGGGCTGTGGAGAAGGCCCGGAGGCCTGGAGAACCACGTGTAACCGTCAGGAGAGAGAACATGTTCCGACTTTTACGTTGGGAATGGCAAGCTTGGAAGTATCAAGAGTTGAATGACGATCGGGAACCTTGGAAATGCCCGGGCCGTTTGATGACTAATTGAGTTTGATGGGCTTGCCTGAAGTCGGGGCTACCCAACGGGCACACCTGCCCCGACCTAGGCATGACTCAACAATCTTAGTCCCCTAAGATGACTTTGGTAATAACAAAATTGTTTAGTTACCAAAGATTGTCAAGGGATTAAGTTATCACTGCTAACTGGTGTTCTCTTTCCCGCATTAGTATCAATAAACGCATTACTTCAATACAAGTACTAGTCGTATGTCTCGTAACTGGAGTGACGATCCATAGCAATGCGGACCAAACATCAAAGCAAGAGGGCCTCGGGAGTTTGGCCGGTGTCACTTCCTTCTATCGTTCTCATATCAACATCACGACTCCAAGGTAGATTTAGACAGTTTGAGATGGGATCACACTTGCAGAAGTTGAGAGCGGAGGTAGAGAAGAGTTGCCCAAACAGTGTATTTGATTGCAGCCTAGGCTTAGGCCCCCCAAGCATCAAGACTTTTGTGGCATGTAGGATGCCCCAGCCCGGGGCGCCATGGCTGGCGGTGAAGGCCCCGTTAGGGAAACCCAATCAAATTGTCAACACCGGGGAGATCTGCGGCCGACGTCATCTCACCAAAGCTCAAAGCCTTCCCCCTCCAGGTTAACCCCTTGCCTCCTCAGACAACTTCTAATTTTGATCGATTAAATACAATAACCTCTTCATTATGACAGATCAACCGAAACCGTACAAGATTTCCGTCCCTGATGAGGATCTTCAAGACCTTCAGCAACGTCTAGCACTTTCCAAATTCGCAACTCAGTTGGAGTCCTCCGAGCAAGATCCTTGGGATTTTGGAACTCCAGTGAAAGAAGTGCGACGACTCATACAGTATTGGAAGAATGGATTTGACTGGCGGAAGGCGGAAGCCAAGTTGAATGAGCTGCCCCAATATCAAACGCAGATCGAAGTAGATGGATTTGGCAGTTTGGATATCCACTGTGAGCTTTGTATAATATGGATTCTGAAGGGCCCGATATTCACCCGGTTCGACATGTAGATATCCACCAAATCAACGACAACACGAACGCGATTCCACTACTGTTTAGTCATGGATGTAAGTATGGATTCCCTCTTCTATCTCATCCATCATTTTTTCTATCGTAGTGCGGTATCTTATCTCTACACATAGGGCCAGGATCGTTCATTGAAGTCACCAAGCTGCTATCGATGCTGAAAGGCGGCGATGACGGTCCTGCATTCCACGTTGTGGCTCCGTCGCTGCCCAATTTCGGTTTCTCTTCGGGCGTGACTCGTCGTGGATTTAGCCTCGCACAGTATGCCGAAGTCCTGCACAAGCTTATGATCAAACTCGGCTATGATCAGTATGGTATGGCCCAAAAGGAATATTAATGTATCACCCACACTCGTAACTAACCTAGTTATACGCACAGTGACTCAAGGCGGAGATTGGGGGTTCTGGATTACTAGAACTATTGGTCTACTATACCCTGAGCACTGCCAAGCTTCTCATATCAACATGGCGCTGGCTCAGCCGCCTAAATTCACCGATAACCCATGGGCAGCCCTGCAACACGCATTGCTGCCGTACAATGACCGGGAAAAATCAGGCCTCGAGCGGAGTGAATGGTTCAAACAAGAAGGGTTTGGTTACAACCAAATCCAAAGCACTAAGCCGCAGACCATTGGCGCAGCACTAGAAGATAGCCCTGTTGCCTTGCTAGCCTGGATTTACGAGAAGCTACACGATTGGACAGACTCGTATCCTTGGACCGACGACGAGATATTAACCTGGATATCTATCTACTGGTTTTCTGCAGCCGGACCCGCGGCTAGTGTCCGCATATATTATGAAACCATACATGCCGGAATGATCAAGGGGAAGTCCTACAAAGAGTTGGTTGCGTACGTCCCGAGTGTGAAGCTGGCAATTGCGCACCTCCCTCGTGAAATTTCCATCATTCCTTGCTCTTGGGCTGCTGGCTTGGGTCCGGTTGTTCAACAGAAGGAGCATGCCCATGGAGGTCACTTTGCCGCTTGGGAGGTTCCTGAAATTATTGTCCAGGACTTGCAGGCCATGTATAGCAAGAATGGTCCTTGCTACGGCGCTGTTTCAGGTAGAGATGGATACTAGCTATGTGATGGTTACTTACCGCCATTTGTGACTTTTTCCGTTTCATGTTTCGGCCTGTATCCCAGTTATTTCAAAGGCCATTGAGGTACTAGCAGAAAAGTGAAGGATAAATAGGATAAACTAACGTACGCTTTGCGATTCTTACATGATGAGATGATGACCCAAAAGTAAATTAAAATAGAAGTAAAAGAGGAAAAATCAATTAATATTGGTCAGAAGTTAACATCTTTCCTTCCAAAGTTTCCTGCTCATAAAACCATCACCCCAAAACTGACCAATAAAGATATGAGTAGACAGTGCAATGAGAGACTTATGATAGTGGCACTACCAGTCACCCTCTCAAAGCTGACTAGCGACGCATTGTGGCTCGACGTCCCTGTCAGAACCACCTGCGAGGAATTCGCGGCGTCCAAACTACCCGTAAATGTGAGTTCGAAGGTCACATTTACTTTTGTGTCGGTCTCTGGCCATTTTTGACCAGAATGTTCAAACCCAGCACCTGTAGCGCCTGAGAAATTCAGCTCAAGAGTTTCATTGGTCATAGACCCATTGATATGTGTTCCAGTAGGCCATCCAATAAGAATTTTGCCCAGCTTGCTCTTCTCGGAGCATAAGCTATCTGGAAGAGCAATCATCTGGTCATAAAGACCTGCATTGTCGTAGTGTGCTCTCTGCATAAAGTCCCGTTCCCTATCAGTCCAGTCTTTGAGATCATAGACGCCGTCAAACATAATCTTGTTGCTGTTATCAGCCGCCTGGGTTATGTTTAATGCAACGGCGTCCATGGCTTGAACTGCATTTTCTGTAATCCAGTCCACGGTTGTGGTGAGCCGTATAAGATCCAAATCTTCACACACACTGTATGAATTGTCGATATCCGAGACACGTACGTTGCTCTTCCAGGCCTTGAACCCCAATGTGATGGGGTTGACGGGTCCTGCAGGAGCAGGAGCTTTGGCAGCGACCCATGCAGCGCCCAGCATGCGCATGGATTGTTTGCCAACGGGACATGTGATTAAAGATGAACTAACGATGTCACCTTCTGTCAGGTTTGTGGGTGGTGTTGTGATTGTGTATTTGAGACTGGCTTCGCCTTTGAAAAAGACACCATCCAACTCGCTATAAGCACTAGCATGACCACGACGTGGGTCCCGATTGTATTTATCGTAGTGCGAAGGTTGAAGATCCTCAAAGTCCAGGCGGTGGGAATCTGTGCACTTGGGTCCGCTCGAGGATGACGTAGATGAAGAGGTGTGGTCACTATCCTTAGAGTCATCAGAGTCGCTGTGGCCATTGCGGTGATCGTTGTAGGTATTGCTGTCACTATCGCTGTCACTATCGCTGCCGCTGCCGCTGCCGCTGCTGGTGTCATCTTTTCGTGATAATACTCCCGTTGGAACGGCGAGCAAGGCAAGAGCCGTGACAAAGGGGTGACGAAGTAACATTTCACTCGAAATCGTGAATCAGTTCATATAGTGTCAAAGTAAAATTGTCAGTTGATCATTCCGAAATGTTCGACAAGAAGAAGACACTAGAAAACCTGCAGGAAAGAATAAGCAAAGCTTCTGCAGGGCATGGTTTTATAAATATGCGATCCCGTTAAAATTAATTGTTTTGCGCCCTAATGAAGCGATACCACGGGGTCTGTAGCTGGCTGACCCTGAATGCCAAGGTGCCAAGGGGTCGAAGCGGGACGATGCTCGTGTTCACCAGATAACTATTGGACAAGAATTCACTAAGTGTCCATTTTTGGGGTAACTAACTACAACTTTAGGTTGTAATCCGTATTGATCATGTATCGGCTGAGTGCTTGGCTTGGAATTTCCCATCAAGGTTAGCCTGATGCACGATTTCCGGTGAGAGATGGCTGTGATGTTGATCTGAGCCACACAGAGACATCTATTGTGGCACTGCCAAGGGTGGCTGAGGAGGTTCAGCATCAGGTCTATGGTCTCTGGTCTGTGATACTTTCGAGATGTCACTTTTTGGTTGCTCAAGCTGTGCAAGGTCTTGTCCGCAATCATGAGCACCATCAATAATTGACTTCCATAACCGAGTGCAACATCATAAAAGACTATCAAACATTTATTGAAGTATGGATATATACATGTTCATATCTACAATATCTAGCTGTCCAGCAGCACCGGCACCTTCTCAATCAAATATTCAACAATGGCGTCGGGGCCACGCTCGACCTGCAAGCCCTCGGGAATGGCGTGAAGCTTGATATCTGGTCGAACAGAGCGAGCAATCTGATGAATCTGTTCGGCCTGCTCGGCGGACCACATAGAGGCGCTGAACTATTCAGGACGTTAGTAACCATGGAATTCCATCTAGAATGCTCGAATTCCGAAGTCGGACTTACCAGAACATCGGGGTTGTGCTGCTTAACCTTCGCCTCGACGTCCTCGATTTCTGTGCGAGATTTTGTCAACAGAAATCACTCTCAATGGCTCTCAATATGCTTACTCTCGCAGTTGTCGAGGTAAATGATAGTGTATCGATCACTCAGAGCCTCGACAAGGCGGCCGATGAGGCGCTTGGCGCGCTCGGGCACGGTGTTGACAGTAACCAGGTGGAAGGGACCCTTGGGAGCAGACATGACGGCGAAATATGAATAATCATTCAAAAAAAACGCGACATTAGCCGGGGTTTTATGCCCCAAGTCGAGATCCGCCGCGCTCCCACTTCCCCACAATGTGGGAGGCTCTCCCTCCGCCGCCGGGGTAGACTTACTCCGCTATCGGTGTCAAAGCCCTGGATTATATATGGGGTTTCTGTTTCAATATATTTGTTCCCTCTTTTTACTCTTCAATCAATACAACCATGTCTAAAATCGCATCAACCTTCTCACGTAAGATCTCTCAAGTTGAGTCCAGATCCTAGACTGACAGAAAATAGGCCTGGTGCGCTTTGTGCCCAAGTCGAACCCCGCCAAGGTTCTAATTGGAGAGCCCGTCGATGCCAAGTTGGATGTCGGATTAGCTCTCTACCAGGGCAAGGAGGTTGCCGTGCGCCCATTCTCCGGTACTTCAGTCTTGAGTCCTGGCAATGTGACCGATACAACGGAGACCATCGCGCGTATTCTGTCTCCTTTGGCCCAAAGCGAGGTTGGAACTATTCGCTGTATTGGCTTGAACGTGGGTTTCCAAGGACGACACAAACATTCGAGGTCAATGCGGCTACTGATGCGCACTGTAGTATGCTTCCCACGCCAAGGAGATGGCTCTCCCAATCCCAGAAGTCCCGACATTGTTTATGAAGCCGGCCAGCTCTTTGGCGGATCCCTGGCCTGCACCAACAATTCTGCCTAAGATTACACAGCAGGACAACACTGGTGACTACGAGTCTGAGATGGTTATTGTCATTGGCCGTGATGTTAAGGATGTTTCCGAGTCTGAGGCCCTCGACTACGTCCTTGGCTACACGGCTGCGAACGATGTTTCCAGCCGCACTTCCCAGATGAATCAGAGCCAGTGGTCCTTTTCTAAGGGTTTCGATGGTGCATGCCCGATTGGTATGTCTATTGTGGGATATATTCTATTCAAAAGAATTTTACACTGAAATGATATGTATAGGTCCAGTGCTCGTTTCCGCGACTCTCATCCCCGATGCTAGCAAGCTCCAGATCCGTGGTCTCAAGAACGGCAACGTGATGCAAGATTGCCCCCTGACGTACGTTGTAATTGCCTCGCATCGCTTATGCTATACAAAATAACACGAGTTAACATTGAATTATCCTGCAGTGACCTGATCTTCAGCGTCCCCCAGCTGGTCAGCTTCCTTTCCCAAGGCACCACCCTGCCTGCCGGTACAATCATCTTGACTGGCACTCCGCCCGGTGTCGGCGCAGCAAAGAACCCGAAGGAATTTATCAAGGCTGGCGACGAATTCGCCGTTGAGCTGCTGCCACACGTTGGAACACTTATCAACAAGATCGCGCACCAGTAACGAATTCAGTTTATAAAATGATAGATGTGACTTCTTGAGGCAATAGCTCTCCATTTATGTATGTCCAATAAGACTTACGGTTGCCAGAACAACCGTTGAATACTATAGACATTTTCTGCAAATTCATTCATATGCCCCCAAATCTCTATAGATACATGGCACAATCAACATGACCACTAATGACCATCAACATTCATCGAACTGGATATATACTAGTAAGGGATTCCAGCACTAATAAGCTTTGACCAATCACAGAGCTCAACCGGATATAGAATCTTCCCTGTGCGGAGTAAACGTCTCCCGCCACATCGCCCTGTAGTACGCAGCTAGAAACATTTCTTGGCCAGACCGCAAGTCGAACTCTTCATCAGTAGTGGTCTGACAGGACATGCGAGTTTCGTTGACCCACGATTGGCCGATTTCAGCGCTACGGGCTTATATCGGGACAGTGTCCCGAGCTGTCCCCGTTCGAAGTGGTTTGCTCAAAAGTCTGCGGCTTTTTTTACTGGGAAGAGTGTTTGCAGAACCTCTCTATTGTTGCGTCAAACCTCTCCCCTTACTTCTTTTCATCTACTTGCATAAATGTTGTGGTTCCTCGCATCAAAATTTGATGCCTCTATACACCTCCCTACAGATGAACACTTTCTTGAAGAGAACTCAACCAGTCTTCTTGATGCCTATTCTGTACTGACCTCAGATATTTTCTCTCTTCAATTCTCACATGTCTTCGAAAATTCATACAATTCATGGATCAAGCTATATACGACTGGAACCACCTTGCCACGTTCGATGCCGACGCCGATGCCGAGTCTAACTTAACCGACGTTAACCCGAACCCGATCACTCTATCATACCACCCGATGCTCTAAAAGAAAACAATAATCACGAAGGTTTGAACAAGAGACGCGGAAACCGAAGTCGATCTCCATTCTGATACCTTTACTCCTCGTTACGCCAAATCTTACCCCGCCAGTGCAGGAAGATAGTGGGAATAATACTGACGAGCACAATCAGCGCCGAACAAATGCCCGCGCTGGGCGCAATGCCAGCATTCTCGAACATGGGAGTAAACCTAAATCGAGGTGAGCGACGACCCCGCAAAAAGAAATGGAGGGGAGATAGAAGACATACCAGAAAGGACCAATGAAACCCCATATCTGTCGGACAAAGGTGATGAAGACACCGATGTTACCAGCTTCCTGTGGGAAGCAATCAACAGCATAAGTCACCATCACCGTGGTGACTAGCTGGTTCCCAACAGCGGCAATAGCGGTGCCAATAATGGGCGAGACGCTCCAGTGTCCGCTGGGTGATTCCTGTGTGCAGACCAGGAAGATGATTACGCCGATGATGGTGAGCGCGAAACCGAAGTAGCTGAGCCACAGTCGGAATTCGGGCTCGGCCTTGCGGTCGATGCGCCGGCTGCGCCGGCTGCGCCGGCTCATCCAGAAGTCTGACAGCACGCCGCCCATCTGCTCACCGATTACGGAGCCTATGATCGCGCCTAGGAACTGCATGCCTAGCTGTTCGGAGTTGAGTTCAAACTTCTCTTGCAAGAGTTGGGGCACCTCGACGGTTGTGAGAACACTACCGAATAGAAAGACCATTGCGTATGCACATGCCGGGATGAGGATTGATGGGTGTCGAGCCATTGTCAGTGGGCGCACGAATTCAAACCATGAAAATGGTGTCGGGTCGATCCGTCGCAGTGACATATACTCGATCTTCAACGTTGACTCCTTGTTGTCGATGCCTTTGCCCAGATAACGGGTCTCAGGACCGAAGAACAGATACAAGATGAATTGGCCTCCATTGATCTTTGGATTTATCAGCTTATGAACGGGTTACTGACTACTATGGGAATGTGAGCTTACCATTGCCAGGATCCAGAAGATCCACTGATAACCAACGCGGTAGGTGACGAAGCCAAAGATAAAAGGCCCAACCGGGACACCTAGGGTGATCATCAGTGTCCAAACGCCCATGTAACGGCCACGGTCTTTCTTGAAAGTCGTCTCCATCACGATCGCACTGCCAATGGCGGAGGCAGGTGAGATGAAAAAAGCCACGAGAGCCCGACAAGCAGCCATAGAGGCATATGTGGAGCTCTTGGCACAGCCGATATTACACACGAGACTACAGATGAGAGAGACGAGGAAGATAGGCCGGCGTCCGTACCGGTTGGACAGCGGTTTCCAGAACAGAGGCGCACCTCCAAGGATGGCGATTTGCAAAGAGGTCAAGTAAGCAACATCTTGCATTTCGACACCGAGTGCTGTGGAGATGTCTAAATAGGCAGGGATAATGGCGGCGGCGGCAAATGTGCCCATACAAGCGTGGAACGCCACAAGGATGAGGTTAATCATTTTCTGCGCGTTGATACGTCAGTCTTCTGTCCGATTGGATCTTTTGCATTTATCCTGTTTCAAGATCATTCGCGACGAAGTCATCTTGTAACAAGCAGGATATTGACTTACCTTCCACTCCGGCCAGTTATAAGGGTCAGCTGGACTCATTCCGGGAATTGGATCGAGTTCCAAAGTCCCGTGTCGCTCCATCAGATAGTCTCGGTGGGCTTTTGGGAGACGAGCAGTCATCGACTCGGCGTAGGTGGCTTCCCGTCCATGTCCTGCGCTCTCAATCAGATCGATGTCGGCTTTGGTGTCTAGCACCTCGTCGACCTGGTCTCGTCGAGACGAGTTCGGGTGCAATTCCAAAGACATGTTTGGGACTCTCGATGAGAAAGATGGAATCAGAAATGCGCTCAAAGGCTCGAGTTACTCTCTAGCTATGACCCAAGGTGGTGTGTTGATTGTCATGAGAATAGTCGAAGGAGATGTGGGGGAGTATTGAATAATGATGACAGGTCTAGGGGCTTCTGTACAGTACTTCTTCTTGGCACGCGAAACTAGCGAGGTGCTGGCGAAAAATGCTAGGGCGAGTGTGCACGACCAGGACACCAACCCCACGACCTTCGCCCAGTCGGAGCTCCCCCCGGGGTAGGTGCATATTCTCCGGAGTTTTCGGCTCCGTTGCGGGTCCTTCGGGGAGGAAATGGGGAGGACTTGGAGAGAAAATGGAGAGAAATGCGGAGGCACTCCACGCTTCCTGGTTGGAAAGCGTCGACACTGGCGAGTCACGATGCTGCTAAAGAGATTGTTGTCATGGGGTCGCACATAAGACCGATACATGGCAGTTGAACACGGCTAGCCGATGAGGCTTCTTACTGGGTAGTGCCGCTTCCATCCGAGCCAAGTGCCGAAGTGATTTTGACACCTTGGCGTTGCCTGTATGTATTTCGCTTCACCCTTCAGCTAGGGAAACCACATCCGAGACATTTCCAAAGCCGCGTAACCTTGAAACACGTGATGAGACTTGGTCTGAGCATTGCCGGGTGGAAGTCTGTAGAGAAATTGGGAGAACGTAGCAGCCACACTTTCTTGGCTGTATTGCCACGACGCTTATTTCCGCTCGAATGCTTGAACGCGTAAGCACCCCCACGGGGTAATGCTTGAATTCACTCCTTAATTGCTTGTTGTCACATTAGTATTATTAACGGACAATAAATATACATTTGAAGCTGGTCTATAGTCTTCAAGATCTTTCAAGCACTCTGGGCAAAGTATAACCGTGATCGCATAAGCAGTCCCACACCCCACAATCACCTCTCCACAATCCGATCTGTTTATTCCTCTCCTCATCAAAAATGTCGTCAATGGGGATAATGACGGCACCTAAAGAACCAGGCAAGAAACTGGTTTGTCGAGTATGCCAAAAATCATTCTCCAAGGCCGAACACTTGAGGGTGAGTAGACTTGGCTTCAGATCCAGCTTCCCCACGAAAGAGGGACAGGTGATACGAGATAGCTAACGGGTCCCTATAGAGACATGAGCGTTGCCGTATGTTCTAATTTCATTCGATCCTTGGCCGCTTTAGATCCCTATACGAAATTCCCTAAAAGAAGAAAGAAGAAAAGAAAAAACACCCAACCAGCTGACGAGATGACTTAGATACCGGGTCCAAACCATATGTCTGTAAAGAGTGTCGACGGCCCTTTGCCAGACAAGATGCTCTTACTCGCCATGAAAAGCTGCACGCTCGTGCTATCAATGCAAGGAATGACTCCTCTGAGGTTCACTTGCCGTCACAGCCTACCTGTTTGGCTTCTCTCGCTTCTTGGGATACAAGCAGTGCTTCCACTGCTGATCTGGCGTCAAATTCAGCAACCACTCACTCCTGGGATGAGTCTCATCCTGAAGATCATGGGAGTATGCATAATGCTGCTTTAGAGGTGGACTTTGCATTGGTCTGGCCTGATTCAGAAAACTTGTTCCAGAGCTTGATGTCCTCGGATACGACAGATCAATGGCAGATCCCGCTTGGTACTTTGCCCTTTTCACCTATTGTGCAGGATATCAATGGCATGAACTTTGGATCTCCGAATTTATTCGACGATCGTAGGACTTCTGTGGGCGCAATACCGTCGGGTGGAGGACATCAGGCAGTGCGAGATGTCACAGAGATGGTAACAAGCTTGGTGAGTTCAGCGTTTCATTTTTTCAGAGGAGGGCAGACTCAAAAACCGCAGTCAAGATACAGGCTGAACTCAGATATGATCGAAACTGACCTTTCATTTACCTAGTCATCTAGTGTTACTGCCGCCGTCAAAGCCACGTCCATAACCTCGGTATTTCTAGACGAATGTCTCCACATGTTCTTCGTCCGCTTTATCCCCACATTTCCAATATTGCATCGTGCGACTTTTGTTTTCCGAGAATGCACGCATCCTCTCCTCCTCAATGCTATCGCCATTGGCTCTTTATACCTAGGCCCCAAGGACTCAGTTGCAAAAGGGGAAGCTCTGTGGCACCTAGCGCATACCGCACTTTCAACTTCATGGCAGTCCTTAATCACACATAATGGTCCCTATGATGCCTGCAAGGGCGTTCAGTTGATGATTACAGCTCTGCTGGGACAGATATATGGGGCACTATCCAAGAACCGGGCAATTCGAACCACTAGCCAGGTCTTCCATCCGCTAGGCTTCTTATGGGCAAGACACTGCGGTATGTATGAAAGCGAGTCATACTCAATGGACAACTTGCCCTCGATCGATGCTCCCGCTGCAGAAAAAGAGCACCAGTGGCGAATCTGGTCTGCGCGAGAGATCCAACAACGCGTCCTGTTAGCCTACTACGTACTGGATGGACTTGTGGCTCAAACGGCGAGCGATGGTGCCTCTTCTCGCCATGTGGCAAACCCACTCAGCCTCCCTAATAGTGAGGAAGCCTTTGATGCCAGTACTGCCGATGAATGGTTAACACATATGCACCCCCCAAAGCCGGATCAGTCCTCGTTTAGGATGGTTTTCCGCTCCCTCTTCCCACCTGTCGGGAGCTTCCGTTCTCTGGAGTACCAGTTCTCTGCATTCGCACTGCGTGTCGTGCTAGAAGGGCTCCAATCTCTGATCTCCGATTCTGATGATAATGAACTAGCCGTGGGAGTTCCTAGCCAATCAGACGTCCGACGAGCTCTAGCTCAAGTCCACGAGACAATATCGATGAGCATCCATTTCTCCACGGCAGAAAGACTTGAAACTCTCCTGCGTTGGCACACAGTCTGCCTAAATACAATGATCAACTCCGATGTCCTCTCCCGCTACGTCTGCTCGCGCTACAATATTTCCCAGCACGTTTCTGGTGGATGCGGAACCGTCCGTCCGGGCTTCGATCTAGTCAAATGGGCTAATTCAGAAGACGCGCGGCGGGCCGTCCTCCACGCGGTCGCCATCCAAGACATCGTAGAGCAATTACCGCGTGGACGTGCACACGTCGTGCACATGCCCAGCTCACTGTTCGCAGCCGCGACAATATACGTTGTCCTTTCACTTGCCGGAGTCGCCACTGTGAACTTGCCTCACAATATCGTATGGCAAGATGCTTTGCTGTCCCGTTCGGACCTCAACCTGGGCCACGAAAATATTCGGCCTCTATCTGGCTCGGAGACAAAGCGGTTTGTGGAGAATGGAAATGGGACTTCCTCACTTCCGTTTTCTATTAGTGGCGCTGTCAGGAATCTGCTTTATGAGCTCAACTCCATGCAAAAGCTTTTCCGATGCTTATCTTCACAGTGGGGTATTGCGCATGACATGGAGGATATTATTTCGCAATGGATTCAGCTCTGTCATTAGGTGATCCGGCTGGACTTGATCTCCGAATTGATGAATGCTGCTCACATGGAATTTTGCTCGTTTTTGGCGTTAGTGGAGGTGCCCCAGAACATGATATTGGGTGGCAAATGACTGGATCATTGGCATCCATGAATATACGTATATACCCCTCATATTGAATTTGAATATCAAAGTTGAAACTCCGAAAAGGCAACGAGCGCCAAGCTCGTTCCCATGTTCTCTAGCTAGTCAAGGGCACTGTTCACATTCTGTGTAGACGCGGTCGAGTTTTCTACGTACTCCCCTGCATCGTGTTTCGTTGTTTCGACTTGAGATGTGTTCTGTAACAGAGTCTTTGAGTTATGCTCTTCTCTAGGTTCAAAGCCAATTGCCTTGTTATAGCCCAAGTCCTGTGAAACGCCATTTCTAGGTGGAAAGATGTCCGAGATTCCCCCGGATGAGACTTCTGGTAGTTTAAATAGAAACCCCCGAAGTTGAAAGGATGGTTCCATTGTAGTTAGTTTAGGGTTGTAACCACGTGGTTCACGTGCTCTTGTCTTTCATGCACGGCTGTCCTGGTGCAGCTGCTCTGCCATAATTTCTTGCTATATGGGGTACATTCTAGATATTTCAGGACTGCATGGTGTTTTAAAGGCCTCTTATTGTTAAATGGGCAGGCTTGTATTCTTATTGTTTACCTTGATTCTCACTGGCAATGGATCGCAGAAAAAAAAAAGTGCCCCAAATTCTAAGACTGCTCTGTAATCTTGGAATCTTGGAACTTTAGGAGCTTCTTGAGTAAACAAAATCAAAATATATCAGCAATATAAATGAAAATGCACTGAACCTCGAAGGTGGATAATTTAATTTATGATAATCACGTGCCTTGAGCTGAAAACGCGGGATAGACACGACGCGACGCGACTCCGACCTTTCCGACCCACTTCCAGCGTGTTTCATGCTCGTTTCGGCTAGAATATATCCACCGACATTCTTAATCGTCTTGATCTGTGGGTCCAACCGTGAGCTATCCATTCATATTCAAGCCAATTGATCCAACCCGGTGGCAGCGTGGCGTCCCCATGCCAAACAAGACCAGATGATCGCCAATCAAACATAAGACCCCAGAACCCGGCAACGGGTCCTGCGACTTCCTCAATGGATTTTGCATCAGCCCGTGGAACCAAGCTGGGCGATATAGTAATCGATCACCGCCCTAGCACAGGTCGTGGCAAGAAAATTACCCTTGCGCAAGAGGGCGTGCTGAGGAGACTCTATGAACAAGAATTGCCCTCCGTACCTAAGGACGAGGTACCCGTGAAAGCTTTCTGGGTGAATCTCGCGTCGCGGTTTCGTGAACAGACTGGTCGCGAGTATTCGTGGTTGTCTGTGAAGCGGCGGGCTGCAGGTTGGCGCCAGAAGTCTCCAAAAGTTGACCAGCGACTGGATATCTCCCGCGATACCGAGCTCGGGATAGAGGATTCGGTAGCTGGGCCTAGCCATCAAGATATTGCTCGTGAATCCTCACGACAGCAGGGTTCATGTGACAGCGAACAACCCGCCTTGCCACACAAAAAGCCTTCCCTGCACCCGGAGGATCCAAACACCCTGGGGTTGTCTCAACTTGAAGGAAGTCCCGGTGTCGGCGACTGGTTGCAGCGCAATTTGTTTTCAGGCGTCACAGACTCAACTCAGGACAACCACAGCAACCTCAAATCCCCTCGCGTATCTCAACGCCGTCCCCGTTCAAGATCGCCCCGGCGTGTGTCGCAGCCTAGATATCGTCGCCAATCTCCTTCAACGAGACGCACCAAAATTATCTCCAAAAGATTGCATTACCAGCTCGCCTCTTCATCTGATGGGATAGTCACATCTGTCCCCAACCCCCTTTCCCGCTGCTCCCCGGCCCATGAAGATATCCAGCCCGGTCATCTCGGTAAACAAAATCCCCCTAGATTCAACCGTGTCCGCGAATCGGTGGAATATGACGAGCCTGAGAACAACGCTCGTGATTCAACAAGGCTTAAGCATGGAGAGAGTAACGTTAGCAACGGCCCTCTTACCTCGCCGCACTTATCTGAGCAAGATGACCTACCACTTGCCCCAACCCGGATAATGAGAAGGCGTGTTGGAAAATGAACGGACCTAGCGCTGTTCGGAGGAATGACTGAAATATGTCAAATTACATATAAGAATCGCTTAGAGATCAGAGCAATGTGTAAGGGACTAAATGAGGAATTGGGCATGGAATCGATTCCTCCTGCCTTCATAGCTAACTGCATAGCGGGCCCTTCCCGTCCTCCAAGAAGAGGAAGAACACATTTTATGTCTATATTGAAGGAAATGAGCCAACAAGGCGTACACAAGACATGAATGATCTTAGTTTTCTAAATCACAGACCATACCGCTACCTGCCTCCACAAGTCTATCCTAGGTGCGCGATTAGAACGCGCATATAAAAAGGTTGTACATAGCAAATTCGCTTTCACAAATTAAGCCTACCGCTTTTTATCTGCCTTCTACCTATAAAACTGGGAGGGGGAAGAAATATCTTGAAAAAAAAGACATCTAGTCAGAATATCTGGAAGGATCTCTGAAAAGGCTACCACCGAAAAGATGTCTTTCATCGGCCATTTCACCTGGTCTTCAGCTAGCGTTTAATTCCATACAACGCCCCAGAAGTCCCTGCTGCCCCTCTCTTAGATGTATCGCCGACGTCGTGGAGGTCCCATTGTCACCTTGGTAGATCTTTAAACATTTCAGCGACGTACTTAAGGCCAAATCGGATCTGGCGTGAGGGCTTCCTAATGCCAATCTACATACCTTCCAATATCTAGATGCATCTGTAAGTCAGAAGACCTCATGCTGGGGAAGGCTCCTCGGGATCAAAGAGGTGTAAAAGGATATATCATTGAATTAATTATAGATGTCTTACATGCTCGACTAAGCATACCTAGGTAGTTAACCTACCTGAACACCCACACCAATTTTAGGGTCGTTTGCTTCGTTTTTATGAACGAGCAAGGGTTGAGAATTGACGACTAATCGCATTCATCGGAACCCATCAAATTGTTTCCCCCAACCTTTCCCTTCCTCTTTTTCTCTTTCCTCCTTGTCCTCTGCGTTTCTTATTCGCTGCATTTAAATTGACTTCAGTTGAACTCGAACCCTTCCAACTACATCATCTTATCATCCTATCATCTGTCATCCTGTCATCCATCACACACCCTTCGAACTAGCATTCAACATGGGGAAGATTAAGTGGGACGCCATCGCTGACCAAACCGTGAGTTTACTTTTGACTTTGCTATCACTTCCTCTTAATCAGATTGCCGAGGCCGAAGTGATCGGTCTAGGCTGCTCATATTGGCTTTGGCTCTTGCACTATGCCAGGCCGGGCAAACCCATTGTCATGCTTGCTTGCAAGAAATACGAAATGCCTTTCAGGCTGAGTTTTGATTGGATCATTTCAACCTTTCTTTTGCTTCACCTTTTCTTTACTATTTTACCTCTGTGTGGGCCTCCCTCTCTAGGTCTATGCACACATATCTGAAAATGACAAACCGTGACTGACAACTCTCATTTGATAAAGCTCCTCGCCACCATTCTGGAAACCCATCACCTGAGTGTTGATGCGGCCAAGGTCGCCGTGGCCTGGCGTAAGTTCTCCGCCCCGCGATCACAAGCAATTTTTATATGACCAAAATGGTCATTCTAACACCCCCTCAGCTGCCCAAGATGAAGACCACCGGCCTACACCTATTGCTGTCAAGGAGAGGTTGAATCGCATCAAGAAGCTCAATCGTGCGCGCAACCCTGATGCTGCCACCTCCGGCCCCTCTAACCCGGTTACTCCCAAAAAGAGTGCTCCCCGAAAGAAGGCTGCCGAAGCCTCGACTCCTGCTGGTCCTTCACGCAAACGCAAGCGCGTTATGACTGACGCTGCCGCTGGCGACGATGAACAAGTAAATGTCAAGAAAGAGGAAGGCAATGAGTCTGTTGTCGAGTCCCTCGTTAAAGAAGAGAAGGACCTGGAGCATATCAACCCCCGCCTTCACTCGTACGCCAAGGAAGAATCGCCGGATGTTGACAATGGAAAGGGAGATGCTGATTTGACCGAGGATAACGAGGACCACAACTCCGACTCCGACCAGCTGCCCAACTAGCTCAATGTCATTCACGAAGGGGATTTATGTTAATCGCCCGAGATTTCGGCACCCTGAATCCCCTCAATTGGTCTTCGCTTTGCGCCGCTTGCTTTTGCCTTTGCCTTTGTGTTTTCTCGGGTCTCCATATTGGGTGGTTTGTTCCTCCCCAGCAAGGGATCTGTGACCTGATCGTTCGCAGAAAAAAAGACCCCCCCCAAAAAAAAGGACGGTGCCCATTTTCCGGATTGCACCGAAATCCATGGTAGAATTGACTGACGATCAGGCCGTCTAACTTTTTCTATTCTTGCCGTATGCAGGTAAATGAAGATTAGTGGGATCAGTAACTGTCTTGTATTGCGAGCAAAGAGACCCGACTAGCTAAGCTCATTGCCAGTGGCTGTAAATTCATTTGATCATAACCCCTTGTAAATTGTTTCAATGCGCATCCCAGTATTCCTCCCAGCTCTGAGATCCCGAAAACTTCCCTAAATAAAGCTCGGATACCATCATCATGCAGGCACCTTCACCATGTTCACCTGTACGGCTCCGTTGTAAAGAAAACGAAAGAGGAAACGCAAGCGTAGGGATCACGCTTATAGGTCAGAGGTAGCTTCCTCCTCTTTGATGAAGCAGGCACTGTATCAAACAATATTAGGACTCTAAATTTCTGCTAATATCCTCACAATTAACAGGGACTTACTCCTCGGTATCCTCGTGCTTGATCTTGCGCTTCTTGCCCTTCACATCCGCGCTGTCGGTTTCCTCATCCTTTGGGACCGGGCCTTCTCCGGCAGACTCAGTACCGACTTCCTTGGACTGAGCGGCAGCGACCTTCGAAGACTTCTTTGTGATGCTGCGCTGGCGCTTCTTGGCCACTGGCGAAGCAGGAGCAGAGGTTCCGCTGCCATCGTTCAGCTCCGCAGCCTTAGCCCGAAGGCGAGTGACGCGGTGGCGAACAGCACAAGCAGTAACTCCTATAGGATTGTGTTAGTATAGTGTATGTATCAGCATGGAAAGGGAGCAGAAGAGGGCATGAGGGATGGAAGCCAAAATATCCGGTCAAATTGTGCACGACAGACAACAAATGGGGAGGGCTGGTGGGGTGCGTACAATAAAAAAAGGGCACATACTGCAGGCGCAAATCACAGACCATAAGGAATACAGGAGGTGTAGGTGCAGAAAATGCGTATGTACGTAGGTGGGTTATGGCCACAAGTAAGTTTCACATAGAAGAAAGGTGCCATATTCCGGGGTTCAGGAGTAAAGGCTGCAGTATAGAGTTCGAGGATTCTCCGCGTGGCACTAACCATCGCCCATGTACTCCGCGAGTGCGTTGAAATCGATAGGAGTGGGGTTAGTGGCGAGGATGCCAGCCAGCAACTAAAGAAAAGGATGGTTAGTTCTTGAAATAAGACGAAGATGGAGATACGGCAAGGCTTGAGAACGAAAGAGACGTCAAAAGGCGTAGAAAGTCAAGTATTGCCATGACGGTTCCACCGAATTATTGTCCGTTCGACTGAAGGCCATTAACGGCTGGTCAAACACATCATTGTCCGTCCTGGTGACGGTCCGGGTAAAGTTCGTTGACGTCCGGGTCAAAATAAATGAATGCGCAGCCCAGCACAATCACCAAGGGTATCAAAGATATGGAACAAATGAATGGTATATCGATAATATGGAAATAATTGGCTATCTGGAACTTGCCTTGGCATCGGTCTTTTCATTCCAGCTTATCTTCATTGCTGCGGTGAACGTCAAACTGGCTGGAGCAAATGATGTCAGTCTCCCTGTGAACAAAAGTGACGAGAAGACCGAGAACAAAGATTAGATCTCACGGGGGCTAGCAGTATGTACCATCCCTGGAGTATATTGAGAGTGAACGAACGTACCCCGTGGTAGAATATGTGCAAGTCGAGGCAAGATGAAACGAGTAAGACCTTTCGGGGTGACGGATGAAGAGAAGTGCGAAGAGAGAGATTGAAAGAGTGCTCGGACGAGCTCTGAACATTTTACCATCACTTCATCGTGCACAGGCAACCAATTACCTTCTTTCATTACGTTTCTTCTTCATCTTTATAGACTACCAGTAGTGCGATACACAAGTGGAACTGTAGATATTGACTACTCTATAGTTTAAATATATAGGCGAGAAACAGCATGACCACCATGACCGGCATCAAACGATCAGTATGAGACTACATGACTGGTATGAGCAACATGAACAACATCGCCACAAGAACGCTAAGGTTGGGTCCGTGTGCACAACAGAATCAGCAACAATATGGAATAACATGGGTAGTGAGAGTCAAGTGCGAGAGGTTAGATTGTCTTTGGCCAACCGCAAATCTCTTTGACAATTATAGAGCGAAATGTGGGACTGCTTATATCCAATCTAATATGGGATCGCTAAGGCCTTTCAAAAGTGTGGTCCCTAGCCATATCAACTAGGTTACCATAGAGATAAGGCTGAAAGAAAGAATCGATGTTAATTACGATGTTGATGGTGCGCAGCCCGTATTCCCTGGGGCTCATGAACACACTGAGTTCTTCCACGCCTAGATCGCATCTGTGTCCTGTCAACCCCCGTCTCCATTCATCTGACCATCGTTCCTATCCGCTTCAAAGAAGAGAAAATCTCAAATAGAACTCGCGCGATGAAGGAAAACTACATGCTACTTAGGAAGGAATATGAATGAAAAATCTACTTTCTTTCGAATCAAGAATACGTGGATGATAGGATGCCCGAAAGGCCTAGAAAGCCAAACGATCCCTTCCCTCGGTTTGTCGCAGAAACCGCTCCATGAAAGTCAGAATCAAATTCATCTCCCAACCAATGCCAGGTCTAAGAAGCAGAAGTTTTTAGAGCTTGCGTTGCTTGGTGGGACTTCCGCCGGATTCATCGCCATCTCCATCCCCACCCTGGTTCTCGACAACGGAATCCTTCTCAGGCTTAGTGAGTGAGGCGCTCTTGCGCTTGGTGGGAGACTTGGTGGCCTTGCGCCCACGGCCTGATGGCTTTTCCGCCTTGTGATTGGTCTTAGATTGCGCAGAGGCTGCCTCTTGGCGGGTCTTCAGAGAATAGACGTGGTTCTTCACGGCTGCAGTGCTGTCGCCTACACCTTGTTAGATGAGTTCGTGTAATGTGCACGTAGGGCAAAGAGTCTCATGGGGGACAAGGTAGAAATCCCTGAAGTACTTACCCTGTCCTATCGCTTTGGCAATGGCGGCAAAGTCCAGCGGAGAATGGACAGCCAGGATGGCTACAAGCAACTACCAACCATTAGCCATGGATACCGATACTTTCTGAGTACGAGCAACCAAGGGCCAGCTGGGGTAAGAACAGCCCAAGAACTAGCATCCCGTAGGCTGCTGCTACTATACCCATAGATGAGCAAACTTACCTGCTTGTCTCTCTCGTGATCCCAGGAATGAGCCATTGTGATAAAGAAAAATCTTGTGGGGGTTGAAGACGGATGGCTGAGACCTCGGGGATAATGGTGGTGTTAAGGAAGGAGAGAAGTAGAGGAAAGGAAGTGGACAGAACATTAAAATCACCTTTCCCATGTTGTTTGCGTAATTCGCTCCACATGGGCACCAATGACCTCGTGAAATTGACTGGAATATTAAGATGAAAATTGTGACTCGACTCTTGTTCTACTGCCTTTCTGTCTTGATGTCCCAGTGGGTAATATGATGCTCTAGTTCGGTGTGCGTCGCTCTAATTTTGGAGTCAAGAATCCCCAGAGTCACTAACACCCGATTTGTGTAATACTCGCAGCTCGCGTTCGGGAATAGGAATTTGGGTTAGTTGGATCGAATGTCGTTTGGCACAAAACCCAATTCAAGAAAAAGATCAACCCGGGAATCTATACTGAAACACAAACAGCGCAGGAAGATAAAAATCTCCATGGAAGCCACTCAAAGCGAAAAATCATAGCCTGTGCTCCTGTTGACCATAACGATGAAAAAAAAACATATTGATGCCTACAATTGTCCAGCAGACGGCGGTGTGGACGTCCACGGCCCACTGACAAATTGTGACTCCGAACCTCTTCCTGTCTTCCCCTGTGAATGCTCGAGATGCTCCGGATAGTGACTCGACTGGTCGTAACGAACTTGGTGAACGTTTGTTGTTTCAGGGAAGCCTGTCTGGCCATTTTGAGGACCAGGTTGATGCTTCGAAAAGTATTGTTTGGCACCGACTTGCGCCAATTGGTTTTGATATTGCTGATAGCCTTGGGAAATATTGCCGTGGTGTGCTCCTGGCTGTGTTCGTATCATGTGCTGCTGTTGGTATTGACTCTGCACATGTTGCAGCGGTGAAAATCCCTGCAATGCAGGGTCCGTGTGAGGGTGTTGCGTATGGGAACGTGGATCTGGTTGGCCTTGTCCGAATCTACCTTGATCAAGCATAGATTGCGGCGAATGGTTGGGGAAGCTATCTACAGAATTTCGGTGGGGTTGCCCTTCCCGGGCAAGGGAAGGATTTGAGGCACGAGAGAATTCTGCCGAAGACTGTTCCATATGCTGGGTGGATGAGTAAGACCCAAAAAAGGGCTTATGCAGGGTCGATCCCTCACCAGGGGCGTTCAAATGCCCTTGTTGTGATTCCAATTGCCACTGTGGTTCAGAAGGAGCTCCACGCATTGAACTTGCCATTTGTCCCTGCGGATTGTTGGTTACTGTCCACGAGGCTGGTGGCCGTTGGCTATGCAATCCAGCAGGATCTGCAGAAAATCCTTGGAAGGATTGTGCATGTTGCATCACGTTATAACCGCTTGGGTGTCCCTGATATGTACCTGCATTATTACCCCACGCAGATGAGGATATACTTTGGCCCATGTGGTGTGGACCCGTGAGTTGATACCCTGGATGTGTCTGGCTTCCATAGAATGCGGGCTGAACACCATTCATCTGTCCAACAACGCCCTGTTGCAACTGGTTTTAGAGACAAATAAGTACCACAACCAATCAATATCTGTGAGAGTCGAATATTTGAACATACCGTGCCATATCCGGCTGCGTTTGCGGCAAGCTGCTGCTCATATCCGCCGGGCAGATGTTGACCCGTTTGATTCGAATACCAACCCGGTACCCCGGAAGACCCATATATCTGGGAGTCAAGGGAATTCTATCCCACCATCAGTGCCATTCTTGCAATGCTTACGCAGACATAATGAGCGCGATTCCCTACGGAAATTCTCGCACTGTCCGCCGCGGAGTACGTTCCGCCTGCCATTGTGCCCACGGACTCCAGCTCTCGAGTACTGCTGCTTGTCGGATGTAATGCTGGCTCCTGCGATGGCCCTGCCCCGGGCGTCGGTGTTGTTGACGGGGTCAAGACGATGGGTTCGGTGGGAATCTCCCATTGCGACTTCCCGGTCGTCCGCTGTACGTAATACCATTTCCGTCGGACACCTTCCCATTGAGGGAGCCTGTCAAATATTATTGTTAGAATACAGGGGATAGGTTCTTTGATTTTCGGGGATTGACTTACCAGCCTTCTGGAAGTTGAGGTGGTGGGGAGGACGGGCCTGCGGTATCCGCAGGAGCCTCGGGCGCCATCTCGGACTTAATAGGATCCGGCCGATGTCAGAATAACAAGAAGATAACAAGACATCCAAATTCTGGCTATGACTGATAAAATTCAAACATACACGGGAGAAAGATGCGGGATAAACAGAAGTGAGGTTCAACGAGACTCGCAGATAAGACGATCTTGTGGGGCTTCTTGGCCTTGGATCGCCGTGCACAGACCGAGTCAACACCGCTACCCATCAATGGAATTAGAGGAATCATCCAATACTCTGCGCCATATCGTCTGATAAATCGCTAAATATTATTGTAATAAGATATCAAATAGTAGCCTGTTTATCCCCCTCCCAAATGAATAAGCAACCTCAGCGCCAGATCCTAGCATACAAAAAAAGGCGTAAAAAAAAAAACAGAATTTATCCTTCGAGGCGCGTTGTAGAGCTTCGAGAGACGAGATAGTTATAAATACAAAAGGCACTTCTGTTGGGACTTCGCCATAGTATTCGAACGTCCCAATGTAGGCTAGAAGTCATCGTCATTGCCATCCCAATCCTCGTCCCCACTGAGTTCATCGTCAAGAAAGTCATTCTCGTTGAACTGCAACTCAGTCGGTCGCTGGTTGTCGATCCGAATGTTTACAATATCGCACATCCCCTGTATCTTCCTAACTTCAGGCTGCGGAGTCCCGACTAACGAAGAACCACTGGCGGCATCGTCAGTTTCGTTGAATTTTTGATGTGCTAGCCGAGTGCTTTGGCGTTTGGAATAAGTCGATCGTCCACTATCGGCCGTGGATGGCCGTGGATCATCAACTCCAGCGCACAGTTCGTCGGGTCCATTCCTTGCGGTTAATGTGGTGGGTTTGAGCGAGCGCTTCTGAAGAGAGCGGAGATTGGGGTCTGGTGGCAAGCTTCGTCGCAGGAACACCTTTTCGAGAAGACCAATCCATCGCTCACGAAAAGTGGCACGGTCACGCCAGCCAATCTTCAAGATTGCACTGATGACCAATCGTCGTAGATCTCGAAGTTTGGGTGCCGCATTCACCAGCGAAGTGAAAAAAACCTCCGCAGTAGCGTCGTCCCATTTGCGTAATTGGGTGAGCTCGATTTTTTGGAGCTTTTCTGGCCACGTGGGAATTTCGGTTTGGACAAGTAGATCTTCAAAGTGCGGCTCGACATCATGGTAGCTGGATACATCATGCATAGAAAGGTCCATTTTGAAGATTTCTAGATTCTCACAGTACTGACCCAAAGTTTGGATGAAAGACATGTTGAGGTAGCGATTGTGGCTTAAACTGAGCTCTCGAAGGTTGGTGCCATGTAAAGACATATAGGCTGTAAGATCTGATGACCATAATCGGTCACAGTTATTCAACGTGAGGGAATGGAGGGTATTTGGTAGATTGGCCAGAATTTCCCCGCAAACCAATGAGCTTTCAATGAAATCCAGTCGCTGAAGGTCTGGAAGCATCTCGAGAGCTTCAAGGAGGCCAGCCTCTTTGACAGCGGAAGTTTCTTCATTGAGGTTATCGAAGTGGAGCAATTTCAGCTCCCGGAGACCCCGGAAGGCGCGCTGTGAGTGCATTTCCACCATCATTTGGACGAGCGCATCAGTTTCTAAAAAGCGGCTGTTCCAATCCCAGCTACGAAGGGTAATGCCACGGTTCTCGAGGGCGGAAAAGACAGTGACTGGATAAGTCCACTTTGATTGAACAATGTGCCATGGAGGTATTCCCACCGTGTAATCATCTTTGTGATACAGTCGTACCGTGTGTAAACGAGGCGTCTTTTCAATTAACTGAGAAAGGTCGAAGTAGCCGTAGGGTCCACTTTTATAAATGAGCACTGGTTCAACTTCAACATGGAGTTGCTTGATCTTGCTAGAGTAGTTCATCGAGAGAGACTCTTGTGGGCGTGCCAACAGAGAGAGGAGCACATGGCTCTTGTAGGCAGGAAGAAGAGGTGGACAGTAATAAAGTGCAGCGAGCGCAGGCTCATGAAAGCTTCGACACAGTAGAGCGACATTGAGTAGCCACTTGACGGAGTCATTGCGGGCCGAACGGCTTTCGTCGAGTAATGGGTGCGATGCACGCAGGAAAATGTCAAGAAGGATATAGTAAGGGAGAGTTGGCCAAGGAGGAATGACACCGGATCCCAGGAATATCGGGTCATCCCCATCCGTCTTGGCACGTTTATGCAGGACTCTCCCAACTTGACTACTGGGTTTCGATCGTTTAAACTTCTTTGGCTTCGGGGTGGTTGCAGCGCGCCGAGGACCTTGGGGTTTGGAGGGGCGAGTATGCACAGACTCGGCATCCGAGTTCGGTGCATCGACCGGCGCAGCTACTAGTTCTTCGGGCTCTTGGTCTTCCACGGCTCCGTTAACGCTAGCATCTGTCGAATCTTCGCGATAGGATTTTGGCATTCGAGTTGTACTGCGCGAGCGAAGAGATAATGAGGCACGCCTTGAGCCGTGCAAGCCTGTTGACTCATCTTGAGATGAGCTTTCCTCGTGGTAGGTCCGTACCTTCGTGCGGCTGGACCGCATAGGGCGAGTGGACCTTGAGCGCGAACTGGAGGACGCCATGACGGATAAGGTCACGCTAGGATAAGAGAGTGGGTTGCAGAGACCCGAGCCACATTGTACGCACGACGTCCCCCGCGCAAAAATATGAGCAGAATATAGATATCACCGGGTTTCGAAGGCGACAACTCTGCAATTATTCTCGTTCAAATTGACCCTTGCGACAGTCCCGGTGAATCCGGTTTCATTGACAGATGAGGTCGGAGATGCCAAGAATGCCAAGGCGACAAACTTATCGATAACAGAAGGTGCCAATTGACGCTAACCTCATTAGGAGCCCAATCACACGTGATAGCCAGGCAGGAACCCCGCCCTCAGGCCATGACGCTAGTCCTCATTGGGGAGCACTAGATGGCCCCCAAAATAGATTCTCAGCTTGAGCTTTAAAGATGGGCGCTTCCAGCCACCTCAAGGGAAACCTCCTAGAACCCTACACCATCGGCGCATTGCTGTTCAGAATCTGATTTCTTCTGTTTTTCTTAGTATTCATACACCGAACATTTTGTGTTGAAGATAGCCTACATATATGCCCTGGCTCCTGATTTGACGATAATGACGACTTGCCTATGCGACCTAGGATCCGCATGATTGTTTGTCTGCGTCGCGTCTCTAGCTCCATTCTACAATTTAATATAGAGGTCTGCCACTCCGAGTCGCCAAGTTTCAGATGGAAGCATCATTCCCTGTTATGATGGACTCAACCGATCGCTCGAACCGTGGTGAGCTCAATGGGCCGCAAATGGTCGTTCAACAATATGCGCGATATCCTCCGACCTTGGAATCGACGTTGCAGAGTGCTTCCTCTTTAGGAAGTGCTCGTAGCCAAATAGATATCAACAAATCACCTCCCTTACGGCGAAGAGAAACGCCCAGGAGCTTACAGTCTTCCCCACGGGGCATGCGTTCTGCTATACTCCCATCATCGGCCAATCGCTCTGGGACATCCATGTCTCCCCCAGTTTTTGATCCTCATCGCCATCAGCCGATGAAAGATCCTGCTGATCACGCAGATTCCCGAGTTCTTCCCCCACGGGAAATCACTGACGAGACGATCGATGATGCCTATGTATCATTTATATTGTATTGCAATCCTAATGTTCCATCCTCGGTTGACACATCAGATCTAAGAAAGACCTTTCGGTGTCTCCCCACGGAGTGATGGAAAAAGCTTCAACATTTTTACCCTGTTCGGGCTCATTCGAAGACGGCTGCAGAATGAAGAGTTAAAGACATGGATTCAACTAGCAATTGAATTGGGTGTCGAACCACCCTGCATTGAAAAGAAGCAAAGCACTCAGAAGGTGCAACAGTACACTGTTCGGCTCAAAGTACGTCTACCCTCAAGTTTCCATTCCGTATTCGTCTTGCTAATCTCGCCCAGCGTTGGATGCGTGCTATGCATATTGATGCTTTCTTTGAATATTGCATGGGCCTGCCCCATTCTTACTATACACAGCTTCCGCCATCTGGTCCTTTCGTCAGCGAATCCCGCGATGGTGTATTATTGGAAGAAGATCTCGCACTTAGGGCACTTGTGCCACAATGGAAGCCAAAGCGGGGAAGAAAAAGGGTTGAGGATAGGTACAGCGAGGAAGACAAAACAATCAAGCGGCCCCAGTTGGATACATCTGTGGGCGCCCTACAGCAGAGTAGTTTTCAGTCCCACTCTGTGACATTCCCGCAAAGTGCGATTCCGTTCAGTGCATTCCCCGATGATATGGAGCCAAATGACCCATGGATAGCGGCGACCTCGTTCCCGAATGGTTCGGGGCCAGATCAGCAAAGTCAAGATATACGCTGGAGACTTCCTGACCGGGATGCCTCTCCTGCTAATTATCCACAGTCTGCTGTCATTCCCCGCAGTCATCTATCATCAGATGTCCTCATGTCTGCGGAACCACGGTCGGCAGTCACTCCGTCAACCGGTGAAAAGAGCCGTTCTAGGAGACGACATGGCCCTGCTGTTTCATCTGCTTGGCCGAACAGCAACGGCTTGTCAGCAGGGAAAGGCCGAGGAAGACCACCAAATAAAGGGTCATCCTCGGGTTCCTTTTCTACTTTCCAGGTCAATCCTAGTCGGGAATCATCACAAGTACCCAATCCTAATACCCAGGCTTCTTCACTTGCCCTTGACAGAAATCCGCCCCAAATATTCCAGACCCCATCTCACAATCAGCCTCCATCTATCTCTCAGGGAAGGCCCAACAAACTACAATTGCAGGTTCCTCAACATTCAGGGGCGCCGGTTCGACTTGCCACTCCACCAAGACTAGTAGTTAATGGTGTTAATGGTGCTGTCATTCCTGGGTCTGAAGGACCCAATGGTTCCCGACAATATCCCACCACAGATATTCCAAAGAATGGTATCACTACTCAGCCATCTTCCTCCGGCGAACAAAGCAATGCAACCACTGCCCCGAATCCCTCCATCGATGACATTGTCCATGCACTTTCTGCAGAGCTACTTCGTGCTAGGCTGACAGGGCGAACAGCGACCCTGTCCCCCAACGAGGCGGGTGCTCTGGCCTCAGCGATGGTGATCAATTTGTCTTCATTATATTCACGGTTTCAACTTGGCACTCCTTCGCTGTTACTGGCCTTTCATCTTGGCGTTGGTCATCATTTCGGATTCGCAAGCAGTACTCCAGGGTCACTGGTCATCAGGGTTGAACGTGCCATCCCACGCAGTGATGGAAACAGGGGTGCGCCTGCCTCCCAAGAACCATTCAATGGGGCTCAGTATATCATCTCCCATGAGTACGAAACTTCAGGCCAATTTTCTATGCAAATCACGCTCGCAAATGTCAGTCCTAGTATAGGAGGGACCGGTGCCTCTGATCACGCAAACGCGATTATGGGTCCGAGTCATGAGAATATTGACAGCAATAAGACGGCGGACCTGGATTTTGACGATGACGATCCCAGCCAGTCTGTTTCCGAGGCAACATGGAAGCAGCGTTACACAAGGCTCCGTGCACAAATGCAGAAAAAGGACCAGGCTTTGTCGCAATACAAGCGAAAGATCGTGGAATCTGTCATGGCAGATATATGACTCTCATCGACCGAATATGACTTTTAGATTTATATCACGATCTTAGCATCGTATTTTTGCCCATTTGAGATACGTACCTTACGGGCATTTTTCACGTTTGTTTGATAGGATACCCCTTTGATATGTTCAATCCTACTGTTTTCTTGCATTTCATGAATAAAATTCATCATCTCTGCCCCTATGTTGAGGCTGGCTTGGGAATATTTTTTGCACTTATACCCCATAATGCATGCTGCATCAAGAGCTATAGATGTTGACTCATTTGGTTTGAAAATTTCCGACTTCGTATCCTCACTATCCTCCCAGAAACACAAAAGACATCGAAGTTTTCTTGGAAAATATGCTAAGGTGAATTTAATATAACCAAATATTATCGTTTATAGTATTCGAATATCACAGGGTTTCTGTTATTTTCTTTCTTGTTTCTTATCACCCAGAGCTGTAGGCAAAATATGTGGTGTTATCCCAAGAAGAAGCCAGCGTCTGTTTTGAAGGTATTTAGATCAAGCAAAACTCTTTCAATATTGCCTCCATCGCTCCTCTCACATCCCAGCTATCCAACTTGTACCCCGACGTACTTCACCACATCGAACAACGTCCAACTCAGTCTCGTCATCACACGAGAATGACTTCCATCAATACTCCCGAGGAGCAGGCCATCGCCTTCCTCCTGACCTGTGTGGAAAATTCTTAGAAGGCAAAGGTAGGTGGAAGCCAGTTCCAACCCAGGTTTCGTACAATGTCTCCAAATTCACAATACATCCCTACAACCCAGTGTTACCTGCTGATGTGATTGGCTATTACAGATCAATTGGGACAATGTCTCACTCGATATCGGTGTCGATATGATTGCCGAAGTGGCGTAAGTTCTTCGGCTATGTTATGAGTTTTATTACAATTATCGACAACCAGCAGCAGGAAATACTACTTCAGCATTGTGAATAATGCCGAAGAGTTCGACCGCTCTGACAAGCATCCCGAAATCCCCAGAGACCCTTCCTGGGAGTCCGTCACGGCTGAGGAGATTGGCCCCATCGTCATAGTCGAAGAGTCAAATGATATCATTATGTAGCAAAGATACACTTCGGATCCTGATCCATTGTACTCACCCCTACCTACAACCTCGAAGTCTTGTACATCGAGCCTACGACATACCTTTGCTTGGGGGGTGAAGACAAATATCTTTGAGTCGTTGCTCGTTCGCGGTCATTTACAGTCTCTGTTAGTTCCTGGGTTTGGTGCTCTCTGAATAGCAACCTAATATGCTATGACTTTGATACATGGAATTCTTCTCGATTCATTATACAAGTATGGGTGGGCTGAGGCTTTTTAGCAGAATATACGGTAAGCCACACCTGGACACATAGTATTCATGACAGAAATAGATAGATTTTGGAATGGGCACTGATATTTTCGAACTTTCATTTTGTCTATAGACCGACCGCAAAGCCATGTTGTGGCAGCCTTAATCATACCGCAAACCCTGCAATGAAGATACAAATATACACCTTGTGTAGCATTGCTAGTCTTTTATTGTCAGATGGGACCGCCAGACAGAAACCTGACAATCAAGAACTGCTTCCCGATGCTCCTAGTATGCTCCTAATGACGCTCCTACAACAAATATCTCCCATACAAGTCTGGGAAACCGAAGAGCACTTTTGTTTGAAGTTTGGCAGGTGAGGCTTAACTTAAGAATGCTTCTTCTGCTTCTTCTCCGAGCCTTTGCCCTTGTCCATGGCCCCACGCTGGCCTAAATATACGCGTATGTGCTCGTTCACAATATCCATGATGCTCTTCGTAACCTTCGTGGTTTCATTCGGGGGAGTCTGAGCGACCTCCGTGGGAGCCACCTCGGTGGAAGAGATCTCTGGCTGATCAATGAAATTAGTTTCAATATTACTTGGATACATAGAGATTGGCTTACCTTGTCATCGCCATAGATGTGGCCGTTGGTCAGCTTGTGTGCTTTCTTCAGCTTGGCATACTTCTTCTGAAACGACTTTCCACTAGCATAGCCAAAGTCCTTGGCCACGAGCGCGAGATTGACCTGGGACTCGAGCTTTAGTATTTTGACGGAGAATCCAAGCCAACATCTCACAGCAACTTTCGATGCATTCTACCATGTTTGTTTCCTTGTTGGTATGCTTCTTGATTGAGTCTAGATACTCCTGATCCGGAGGGTCGTTCTTGTAAGAAGGCATTGCGTCAGCGATCTCTGAAGGAAATCTCAAACCTCCTTCAGTAAGAGTGGATGATTGTGAAGATAAAAGATTTAGGGCAGCCTGGACTTGAAGAGACAGCCAACTATACGGGACGAATGAACCCAAGATGCGTTTGATGCGTTTGACGCGTTCCTAGGTTGGTCTTACATCGCTTTGTAAGCGACTCGTCTACCTTGGTTTAAATCCAAGTATATTCTTTTGGCAATCTAACGGTGATATAGTCCAATTATACCCTTGCTGCACATCGATAACCCGTATTTCTTGTGCAAACAGCGATTTTGCAGACTGTCACGTCAATATGAACTTGTGTTATGCCATCAATGAAGGATCTAAACCTGGCTTCTCGTCAAGGGACTTTGCACGAAAAGTGCAGAGAAAGCAGGTCACAGCAAGATAGCAGGGTTGGTTCGCCAAAGTACCAGTTACAGCCAATACCCAATCCTTTTTATAGCTATCTCCTATTATTTGAGGAGTCCCAGGTCAGTGTATACTGCTAGGTATGCACGAAGGGTAAGGCAAATTGGTAATGTGTACGGAAATAGTATATTTCCCCACTCAAGACTTTATCATAAATCAACCTATGAATGCATCCCACGGCTGCCAAATGAAACATAATTCCTTGTAAGGAGAGCTAATCATATCATACTTAGCTTTAGAAGTGAGTGAAAACAACGAGACTAAATCAGCGGTACTAGCTAATGAGAAGATGAAGGCCCTTCTAGTCTCCAACAAAACCTGATCAATCTTGAATATTTTCAACTTTGACAACAACAGGTTGGTCCTCCTGGTTCCCTATGCTCTGTATTCTCTCCTCGGTTTGCTGTTCTTCTTTGATTTTTACAGCCGGGCCTTCCTGGCGAGATGGATGGCGTGGTTCCCAGGTGATGGTTGGGGCATAATTGGTGAAAGAATTCATTTGTTCAAACTCCTGCAAGTCAAAGCTGGATTGAATGCTGGGCGATGAATAAGGATAACTGGCTGGCGCAGTTGGGAACTGGTATGGAATCATGAAGGACGATGATATTGTTGGACTGGGTGATGATATCCCAGATGGTATGCTTGATGCCAGCTGGAATTGCATCGAGGTAAAATCTTGAGGAAGGTAATATTGTCCTTTGGTGCTAGCTTCCAACATCATCTGTGGGGAGTTCTGCAGGAGGCTCTGTAGATTTGTATTGCCTTGAGTGCCCGGCTCGCACTTGACAAAGGGATTGCCCGGAAGAGAAGAATCAGTCGATTCCATGATAGGCATCATGAATGGCGGAGCCATTGGGAATATGCCTTGCATCTCAGTAGGTGGCTCCATGGTCTTCCCCTTCTTGGCCTTTCGCTTTGGTTTGCTTGCCCCTGTGTTTCCTTCCATCTGTTGTCGGAAGCGAGAATACCGCATACGAGCAGCGTGACCATTAGAGACTTCGACATCGGAGGCGACCCGATTCCAATCGACCTGTCATATTCAAATAAGTTTAAATTAATCTTCACCTAATGGTTGGGAAATAAACTGACCGACTTCAGATCTAATTGCTTGATGATTGTGTATAGGAATTTTGCAGTGGGAGTGTCAGTCTCTAAGACTTTGTTCCGCTGACCCATGGCTGAAAAGGTGGTCTTATTGATAGAATGATAAAAATGATGTTGTGAGGACAATAGGAGGATTATGAACAGTTTAGATCGGCTATATAACTGGTATAGAATAAAAAGATCATTTTGACATGCAAAGCGCTTGCCGACCACATCAATGGTTGCTTTGTATTTAGAAAATGTAAGAGAGATTAAGATGAATGCGAATCATATGCCTCCTGGTACGGGTCTATCAATATGGTTTGCCTTATTCAACTCCAATTTCATCCTGCAGTATCCCGCCTGCTTCTTTATACCTATGCTTCAGGTGAGGTATGTCAATGGATTTTGGTATTTACAGTCAGATTGAAAGAGAATCATTCTTTCCTGACAGATTTTTAGAAGGAATAGATGCTTAGGTCGTTGTATTAAGTTATGCAGTTGGGCGTGCACCATATACTGTTCACGTGATAGTCATTACCCTAGTCCGACCATATCGAGGGATTAATATTCTCAGTGGGATACAGCTAGAAAGTCCATTCGAGAGACTAACTACATGGAACTTGCTTTTGAGTACTATACCTGGATGCCTTTGATAAGTAGAATGACTCATTGTGGAATATATGTGGTACTACAAAACTAATATGTACAAAATGAGTTTTGATGCCAAGACAAACATAAAGCAGTGGGCTCACACGCTGACTAATTTAGCCCCACGCCCAACCTTGGAAAGCCACGGGTCTCGGCGTGATCAACGACATTGGTTAAATAGATGATCAATACTCTCTCTTCCGAGAAACAGAGATACACTCTAGCCAGCATCACCATCATGACTTTAGTAGCTATAGGGGCGTGCTATCTTGACACAATTTTAACGTAAGTTCTTTCCGCTGTGTCTTCGGAGTTATTTTCGTCTATAAAGTATGGTATTCACATGCTTTGGTTAGAACCCCCCATTACCCAGGTGAAGATGAGAAGCTTCGTGCATCCAAAATTAGCCGCCGACGCGGTGGGAACTGCCCAAATACTCTCGAAGTTCTAGGCCAATTGTTACAATATGGGCCATCGAATGCCGAATCATCCTTGAATCTCATTACTGTCCTTCCCTCCAAAACATCAGTGGCATCTCATCAAATCCAATCAAGCTTAGGTGATATGGTTCGGCTAGATAGTTGCATTTACCGAGAGACATTCAATGAGCCAGCTTCCAGTTACATTATTGCCAGCCAAGTCACCGGTAGTAGGACAATCGTCAATTACAACGAGCTTCCCGAGATGACTAGCACTGAGTTCGTATCGGCTGTTGAGTCTCTACGCGCCGTAACTGATCCTGATCGACCCTGGTTTCATTTTGAGGTGCATTGAATATTGGCTAGGTGCTCAGCTGTTCACGATCACGAATTATGCTAACTTGGACTCAGGGCCGTGCACCTGATGTAACATTGGAATGTATTCATTATATCCGGAGTCATTTTCCAGGAGCTGAAATCAGTGTTGAGGTGGAAAAGCCAGGCCGGCCAGGCTTGCAGGAGCTTGCAGACGAGGCAGACGTTGTTCTCTACTCGAAGGGCTGGGCCCAGGTGAGATTCAATTTTTGGCTTTTTCCAATTACCTCTAACAGCTGAGTAGTACTACGGATATATATCTGCCGAGGATTGTTTGCGGGAGCAATCGTTGAAGACAAGCCGAGCGTAGGCTTTACCGTCCAAGTCCCCAGACAAATAATCTAATTTATCATTTATAGATCCTTGCTGTGCTGTACTTGGGGTCATGACGGGGCTGCAGCGCTTGAACCAAAGACTAGCAACTTCGCTCATGTCCCCGCGCATACTGAAGGACTGGGAGTCATCGAGTGAGTTTTGACCTTGTCGGTGTAATACAGCACAAATTAGACCATACTGATAGGCTATAGCACCATCGGAGCTGGAGATACATTTAATGCTGGCTTGCTATACGGCCTCATCTATCGGGGTCAGGATTGGGATTTCCGAAAGAGGTTGGAATTTGCAAATCTCCTTGCCGGCTTGAAGGTCACCCAAGAGGGCTTTGCAAACCTGCAAAGAGCATTGAGCTTTCCGTCATATTCATCCACCCTTTAATAAACCAATTTCCGTCAGATATATAGATATTAGAATTTTAAAGTCAAACAAGAATATTCAGCCGCCTGTACGACCTGGTGTCGTCTCGGTAGTGGTCCTTTCAGTGGTCCTTCCAGATATTTTGTCCAGATGTCTTTGACATATTTTCTAAAAGCTTGATTCGTGCAAACAACTTTTTCATATATAATCTGGGATATTCAGTCAAAGCACCTTGTTGCTACTTATTTTCTATGCTTGGGGTTTGGGCTGCTTGGAATCAGAATGATTGTAACCTACAATACTTTGATGCTCTGTTGTCAGGCCATTGTACACAACACGAGTAGAATGGGAGATGTATATATATTGACAGAATAAGAGACTTTTTAGATCCGTTGAGCTTCAGCGTACTACTTGGAGTAACATTAGGCAAATAAATTGTAAGCCATTATGTGGTAGACCACATTTTCTGAGATTATAAAGCAAGGTGTAAAACACCAACAAATACATTCATGGATGCTTTTATCACATTTGAAAAAGGCACCTTTGTTTGGCAGGAAAATAGGGCGGTAAACAACGGCAAATACATCGATAGCCCACCAGCACGTGACATAGCAAGGTTCAGGGCGGTGGAAAACAAAAAATATTCTGCCATCAACTTTTTGATCTCGGCCTTCTTTTGCACGATTAATTTCAATTTCATTTTTTGACACAATCAACAATCACCATGGCATCAGTTTACAAGAGTGTCTCAAAGAAGACGGCTAGACAGCCCACCGAAGATATGTCTGATGAGGATATCGAGATGGAGGAGCTCCTCAATGCGGAAGACGACACCACAGATAGCGAAGAGGAAGAGTCCGACGATGGCGAGCCAGCTGAGGTTGTGAAGAAGCAGCTTGCTTCTGGATTCATGCCCAAGACCCGAGTACTTATCTTGACCTCTAGAGGCGCTTCTTACCGGTATGAATATTGCGCCTTGAGATATATGCTGAACTGGTTTACTGATCTGCGACAATTTGTTTTTCTCTAGCCACCGACACCTGATGGGCGATATCTGCGGCCTCCTCCCCCATGCCCACAAAGAGACTAAGCTCGACACGAAAAAGAAAGCCGCCGGATATAACCTTCTCCTGAACTCTCTTGCCGACCTGCACTCGTGTAACGTTATCTTCTTCCTCGAGGCGAAGAAGAATGGCCAGGATCTTTACCTCTGGCTTTCACGCCCTCCTAATGGCCCCACTATTAAGTTCCACCTCAACAACTTGCACACAATGGGCGAGCTCGGCGCTGGATTCGCAGGAAACTGCCTGAAGGGCGGCCGTGGCTTGGTCGTGTTCGATCGCTCCTTCGATGAGCAAGGCCCGGATATGGGCGCTCCTGGTAGCGAATACCGTGCGCTTGTTCGGGAGATGCTGCGCGGAGTCTTTTGTGTGCCCAAGCGTGGTGTCAGAGGCATGAAGCCATTCGTCGATCGCATCATCGGTATCTTTGGAGTGGACGGCAAGATCTGGATTCGCGTTTATGAGATTCGCGAGTCTGAACCTGGCAAGAAGAAGGACGGCGAGGAGACCGTCAAGCCAGTACCAAAGGGCAAGGACGGCGCCCTGCCCGAGGTTTCCCTGGTCGAGATTGGCCCCCGCTTCGTTCTGACCCCCATTGTCATCCTTGAAGGCAGCTTTGGTGGACCCGTCATCTACGAGAACAAGGAGTACGTCAGCCCCAACCAAGTCCGTAGCGACATCCGACAGGGCAAGGCTGGCCGTTACTCCCAGCGCCGAGACGGCCAGACTGATCGGGTGGCCAAGCGCTCCGATCTAGGACTGTCTGAGAACTCTGTGCGGAAGGTGGATGCGTTGGACACAAGGAAGCTGTTTGCATAGGGGGTTTATGTTTTTGTTTCGTCGTGCTATTTCTAGACTTGATATCCCTCGGGATGATGTTTCGACTACATGTGTATATTTGATGCGACGCTTTCATCATGGTCCGTTAAGGCGTCAGGGCAAAGTCTCATCCTGGTTAATTTCAAAAGTTGATTATTTCTATTTGTTCCTTGCTTTTGCTTGTTTCATTACGATCCCGAGAGCTATGTCTTCAGGGTACATAATGTAACCTGAAGGGCAGATTGGCTGGACCCCTGGGCAGACGCAAGGGGCAACATTAGCTAAGCGTTATATAAAGCCCTCGACGCCATCCATCATCCCAGCCCGTCTTTGCCTCTGGACACCACCTATTATGGCATCATTTTTGTTAACTAGCCCTATATGGCTACACAGAAATTGCTCTTCCGATATGTTCGCTCTTGATCCCACGCTATCTCTTGCTTCTATTAGCCCCAACGGCGGGGTCCATATCCAATAGGCCCACTGTACACGCGACAAGTGTTGATTGCTTCAATTCGTGACAACGCTGTCCAACTTGATTTATACATAAATCCTCGAAATCCAACTGTCTTTGTTTCCAAATTACCTGATACAATAAACAACCTCTCATCAGGTAAGTCATCAATTATTGACATTCTAAGAGTCATTCTAATTGTGTTATTCCTTACAGCAACAGCATAGATATTTCCATCATGCCAATTGATCATCTTGCAACGGAGCTTCTGCTCCATATATTTCGTTCATGCGACTCAGTCTCCGATGTCTTGAATCTATCATTCATCTGCCGTCGATTGCACCGCGTTCTTAACTCAACAAGCAAATTGTATATCTTAGCAAGTGTCGCGGAGACTGAGTATGGTCCCCTTCACGATGTCATTCAAGTGGTGACACAAAATGAGAGCCAGCCCGCTCATCACATCCGACATGCGCCTATGTCTGATTCCCTTCTGAAACAAGTTATTCATCTCGGCCAGGTGGCGCGGAAATGGGAGACGATTTACCCGTTTAAGAAGTGGAAAATAGACTTCGAGAATCGTCGCTCACTCACCGATGAGGAGCGATTACGGCTGCGCCGCGCAGTATACCGATTATGGCTGTACCACAGTGCATTTCACTCTCGTGTTTATGATCGCTATTCTCGTAGCCTTCGCCATGTGGTGTTGGAGCGCTCCCAGTTGCTCCACAACTGGTCCACCCAAGAGCTGGCCGAAATTGAGGATTTGCGCCTCGTTATGTGTGATATTGTGCAGAATCACATATGTCCTAGTAATGTCACAATTCAACGCAAATTCCGCAAGCGTTATCCAGACAGCAGCCAGCAACTCTCGTTCAATATCCATCTCAATTACCCTCCACATTCAACAACTTCTATGTCTTCGCATGATCGCTCCTTTCTTCAGAACGGCCCTGATACCTCGATTCAGCAATACTTTCATACGGCCCACCCAGGTAATTATGCTGAGTCCTCAGCCAAATACCGGTCTCGATTTCGCAATGACCTTTCCCATGATCCAGGGTATGAAGGTTGGGGTGACGAGATCCCGCATTACTATATTATACAGGACATGCTGAAGCTGGATCCTGGTCAGATATTATGGTTGCGCGACCATGCTTTGCTGAAGGAACAGGTAGAGGAGTATGTATGGTCTCTGGGGGAATGGTTCCGCAACAACGGTGAAACGTTTGGCGATACGTTGGAATATGTCATGAATGAACGTGGTCTCGAGGTTGGAGAATTTCGATCTGCAGTGGCTGCTCGTGACATGGGTATTATCCTAAACTAGATTTGTGCTTGATTTTTTGAATTTATGGAAATATACGAATCCCCTGTCTATATTGTAATTGTAAATAACTCTCCTTAGCCGAGGTCCAAGCGCTGGCGCTATAAAACCTTGGGCCCAGGGAAATAAATTGCCCTGTGGAGCACGTGGACCCTATCTTCAACGCATTGACACTGTCTCCTCACTACAATTTTACTAAAAGGGGTGGAATGAATATACGGTTTTGAGAATTTTCATACAAAAGCCACGCAGCCACAATGTTAGACGCCCGACAAAGGTATTTGCACCAGCAACTGTGTTCATCATCGTAGAAACATATCAAGCACACCAGCTGGGCGAACAGAAAAAAAAAGGGATCAATTTCGTCGACCACTGGGAAGCGAACAAAAAAAAAGACGGAAGAAGGGGAATCCGACAGCTGGTAACATCGATTCCGGACCCCTACCTTCCAGTGTGGTTTCTTTAACAGATCCCGCCTGTGTATCATTGTAGCCGTCGAATTTCAGACTCCAACACAGATCAAGACCATCTCAGTATCACATCGCAAAAGAAGAGTCGTGGCAGTCGGTGCATCGTCCTTGTGAGGGGTAATCTAGCAGCAGCCCGGCTTCTGCTCGCTGTCTTGCTTGCTGGGGTCGATAACGGGACGGCGGTCGAGGACCTGCTGGCCACCCTCTCCGGAGTCGAGAGCCTTACTGGAAACGATGCGGTAGATTTCTATCGAAATTAGCATTTTATACCAAATGTTAAAGGATAGACAACCAACCTGTAAGGATGTTCTGGAAAGCCAGCTCAACGTTGCTGGCATCAAGAGCAGAGGTCTCGATGAATGAAAGGTTGTTCTCGCCTACTAAATGTCAGCGCTATACAATGAGACCGACTTTCGGGAAACGCACTGGCAAACTGCTTGGCCTCCTCCGTGGGGACCGCACGCAGGTGGCGCAAATCGCTCTTGTTACCAACAAGCATGATAACGATGTTTGAATCGGCGTGATCCCGTAGCTCCTTCAACCACCGGTTGACATTCTCGTAGGTCTGATGTTTGCTGATATCGTAAACAAGGAGGGCACCGACAGCACCACGGTAGTAGGCAGAAGTAATCGCACGGTAGCGCTCCTGGCCGGCGGTATCCCAAATCTGTGCCTTGATTGTCTTCGAGTCGACTTGAATGGACCGGGTCGCGAACTCCACACCGATCGTTGACTTCGAGTCCAGGTTGAATTCGTTGCGGGTGAAACGACTCAAGAGGTTAGATTTACCAACACCAGAGTCTCCAATAAGCACCACTATTCACTCCAGAATACCTCCACTGTCAGCCTCGGGATCCTTTGGAAGGGGGTACAAGGAAGGGGAGGGCGGCATCAGCATAAGGTGGCGACGTTACCTTTGAAGAGAAACTGTGGGGGGTTATCATAATCAGCATATAGTTCTGAGACACGAAGAAGCTCGTCGTCCTAAGTCAACTCACGTCATATTCGTCGTTGGCCATTTTGAGTGTGATCGAGCTAGTAAAGCTCGAAAGGTGGTATCAGAGTACAGGTAAACGTGGCGGATAAGTGAAGACTGAGGGGTGTATTTGGAAACTTAAGAGGGCGAAAGCGAGATACGTCAGTACTGGACTCGCAGCAGGCAGAAAGAAAACTAGGGGACACACACGGGAAGTAATAGAGAATCAACAGGGGATAGTCAGCGATGCCTGGGCCGAGTGTCTCTCCTTAATCGCTCCCACCCATTGTGGCTTAGTGTGGGGATCACGTGTGTTGGCGTTTGGCGCGCGGGCGGTATCTTTTATCTATGGGCAGTAACTAGTTAACTATCAACTTTCTTTGTTCTTATTCTTGCTCGCCTTGCTTTTACTCTTATTAGCTTGCTTTGCCCATTAATATTTTAAATATTCAATGAATATTAATTACGGTAGGCATTTATTCTATCTTGATATCCCCGAAGCCCGCAATTCAGTTTCAAGTCAAGCACTGTCTTGCTTGCACCTTGGGGATGGGGCATTGGAAGCTGCACAATGAAGTATTTGTTGACTTAATTTGCCAGGATACTGTAATGGCATCAGATTCTGAAATGAACAATGCCTCTGATCGAACTGGAGTTGGTGATATCGACTCTTTGGCATCTACCGCAGCAAGTGAAGAGGAAACTGAGTACCTCGTGAATGACATCCATGCGGAACGGAGGTTCTTCGTGGAACCGGATTCTGAGGATGATGAGGGCGTGTTTATCACTCAGTATTTGGTCGAGTGGGCTGGGTACAGCATAGACAGGTGCAGTTGGGAGCCGAAGGAAATGTTTACTTCGGAAGAGACCTTAGATGGCTGGGAAGAAAAAAAAAAGCAGATCGCGGAGGGCAGAGTGACTCCCTTCGATCTCAAGTCATGGGAGAAGCATACGGCTTTGCTGGAGAAGAAGACAAAAAAGCGAAAAGAAGAGCGAAGGCGCAAACGAGATCAAAGGGCACGGCAGAAAAGCCTCCCCCAGGCTGGCTCGTCTCGAGTGGCCAATCCCGATATTGTAGATGCACATAAGCCCGAAGCAGGTATTGCACCACACCGAGCTCACAGTCACCTCTCCGTCGATTCCACCGCTTCGACCTTGTTTGTTCCAGCTGAAAGCCCACCCACACCAAAAAAGGCGACGTCTCGCCAATCGCAGCAACAAATGGCACCTCCGAGATCAGCCACGCCCAGTGCGCAAACAACTCAGAACGATCCTCCAGGATCAGCAACCTTAATTGTACACACGCAAACAACCCCAAGCCAGCCTCCAAAGTCGCGACTGGCTCAGCTCGCAAAGAAGACCACTGCCAAGCAGCACGGCCTTGTGCGCCAGAAGAGCCCCCCACAAGCACCAAAGCCAATATTGTCTTCTTTTGGTACGGGCCCGGGGGCCAAGCGCGCATACCGTGATAGGAAATGGGGCGAACGAGCACCGGATTTGTCACAGATGGAGCTGATGAAGCCTTCTGAATTTGCGCCGAGGACGAACATAGGGTCCACCACCCCAGTCGTGGGCCCATCTGTAACAAGTCCAAAATCTCCGCAAGCCCAAAATCAACCAGCTTCTGAGAATCTTGTCAGCCTGCCCGATCGACTAAAGCCACATACTGGTCAAATAAGCGATAAAGCTGCAGAGCAGCCAAAGAAACCTGCTATTATCGCATTTCCATCAGTCATGGCTCCTCCGGTGCCTCGCTGTTCGAACTTAGGCTCCACTACGTTGGCTTCCTTGTCGGCTGGGTTGCCCGCCCCCACTGCACCGTCGAATCTAGAGAGACCTGTTGGCCCTGTAGATTCCATTAGCTCTATTTCCTCGCCAGCTACCCAACCCAAGCCCGTTCCACAGGCCAATCTCATCCAGCCTGCCAATTCTGCCAATTCAATTGTCTCTACCGTTTCGTTGCCAGGTGAGGCTCCTTTGACGAATCCTGCTGGGCGGTCGACCTCTGCCCTTACTGCGCCCTCACTAGCTCCTCATCCCAATCCCCTGTCACAGGTCAATATCGACAGGCCTACCGGTCCTTTGGCGTCTACTAGATCAATCTTCCCTTCAGTCGTGCCTTCGAGGCCCCGTGCGGAGGCTACTTCAATGAAATCTGCTAGACTCTCGGGTTCTAACCTTACTGATCTCTCGCCAGCCATTCCGACCAAGCCCCGTGCAATGGCCAATCTCGAAAGGTCTACTAAGAATTGGGACTTGCAGGAGAGCCGCGAGACAGTTCGACGCTGGGACAGCTATAGACCAGACCAGACCTATAGACCAGATTCATCTAGACAGGCTAACAACATAATCATGGCCGATACCTACCGACCGTCAGAGTTCTCTCGTCGGCAATCACCCTCCCGTCGGTCACGGTCACGGTCACGGTCACCACTCTATCGACGGTCTCCACCCTCTCGTCGGTCACGGTCCCCCGGTCGAGTACCAATATCTTCTTCCCGTGGTACGAGTGATGGCTACGCGCGTCGTAGCCCATCCCCGAATTATTCTCAGCTTGCGTCAAGATCTTCAAACTCAATTGGGTTGAATGAAAACGTATTAGCCCAAGCCGAAGCACTTGCTATCACCGAATCCAGAGCTGGACCATCTGGTCAACCTAGTACTTCCATCGCGACCCAAATGCCGGTGCGTAAGGTGCGGCCACCTATTCGCATCAAGATTGGCCAATACTGGTGCTTTAAGGGAGAAGCTCTTATCCACGTGTTTGTCGGGCCCAACAAGAGATCCCTTGGTGCTTTCAGATTGTGCGGCATCCGTTTGCCGGTCCAGCAATCTTTGATTCTCGCTAAAAATCCGAGCACACACCAAGTTGAGGTTTGGTTTAAGCACCTGTGCACAGTCAGAGACTACGAAAGATTGTGCGAAGCTAGTGTCAGTACCGGCTCCGTAGATTTGTCTCTTATATAATGCTAACATCGGCTACAGGAGATGAATTCTGTGCTGAGTACTGGCTGGATCGAGGGCTTCAGCGACACCAGCAGAAATCTGTTTGATCTAGCAGAAGATCTGCGCAAAGACGACCTCATCGCCATTCACTATCCTATGGGGAAAAGAAACAGTGCGGGAATTGTCTGGGTTGCTTGGTCACGCGGGTCACAGCAATTTAAGTTTCCACACCCTAATGATGAAGTGCCACCCGACGTTCCTCTGCTCATTGCCGCTCGTACTATGCTCGCACCGATAGGAGTCCTAGGAGCAATTGGATCTAGCCAACGCAGTAAGCAACCCAGTGGGCTTTTGCCATATACATCGCTTTCACTGCGGGTCGAGCCTAGTGCAGATGATGGCCTAGAGTCTGGCAGCCTCAGACAGTCAAACTTCCATGGCATGGGAATGAGTGGATCCTTGCAATCGCGAAAGATGCCAGCCCCAGTGGTCCAAAGCTTTTCGCCCGCAAGTGAACTCAAGGACAATACAATTTGCGCTGAACCACCCCAGGTTAAGATCGCAGATCAAGCGGGCCAAGCGGGTCACCAAACGGTTGAAGAGTTCATGAAGAAGACCCTTAAAATCGACGTGGAAGAACTTGCGACAATTGAGGAAGGCGGGAAACGTTCAAAAGCAGGTATTTTCTATTTGCACTTTCCCTCGGGCAATGAAGAAGTACAAATGGAACTGCAACTTCTGAAGGCACACCTCCTGGAGTACCATGAGAAGATTGTTTTAACAAGCGACAACCCTGGAGATTGGGCAAAATTTGTGCAGAACAGCAGACAGGGCGTGGCCATAGTATGTGATCTATACTTACACGTTTACAATTGTCAAACTAAACAGTAGTAGTTTCACGAATCATTCGTCGGATACGATACGTTGCAGCCTCCGCTCAATTCTGTGCTTCCCACCCATTCGTTCAACTATTGGATTGTTCGCATTCGCAGACCACTCGAATCAGTTGATCCCTGTTATTTTTCACCTTGTGACCACCATCTACGAATCTTTCCATATGGTGGTGTCATACTTCTCACCGAAGACGTATTGACAGACCTAAAAGGGGTGGCCGTCACTCTCCAATGGATTCGGAATGCAAACAGGAACAAACGCAAATCTTGGACGTTGATGTTCCCTCCCCGGATACTTGAATGGATTGAAAGGAGACACGATGATGAAAATCACTCGCAAGACCATGGACTGTATGTCATACCTCTTTACTGTTATTTGCTTCAAGATTCTAATGAACCTATATATAGCCTGCTGCTTATCCGCACGTTGATCATCAAGAATAACGTTATGGACCCTCGCACGGCCTTATTCGATGAAGCCAGTCTACAGCCTAACTCACGAAGCAACGTCATCGCACCTTCTCTTAATGAGTACGGTTCTCGTACAGAGGACCATAACCTCAAAATCAAGGACAAAGTCGAACGCGACGCAGATCATCTCATCGAATTCTTCGCAGGGTGGTCACTGATTAACATACCACGTTTCCGGAACTTCGTCGCTGTCACGTCTTTCAATGCCCCCGCTACAGCACGATGGGATACATGGGGCCATATGACTGTCATGCGAGGTGGCTTCGGCCATTTCTTCAAACGGTTCAAAGTGGACTCCGTGGGCCTAATGGCGTACCTGTCAGGGTCAGGTGGTTCTAAGCCACGGCGTTCTACTGGCCAAGTAGCTACCCCGTCCAGCGTGATCACACCTCAGACGCCCAATTTGGCATCTCACAACTCTAACGCCTCTATTCCAGCTACCTTCACAGGAAGCCCGAATGGGAATGGCACAAACAAGTACCCTGCTCCCTACAAATGATTTCCTACGAAGTTCCGACCAAACCAGCCTTCACCACACATACGTATGACTGCTCATACTTCACTTCTTCTTGCACAACCTTCTATGATACCCTTGCTCTTGTATGTATTATGACTATAACTCTATGAGACCACGAAATGTATCAAAACTCGATCAATGTCTACCTTTGTAACTTGTGGCAATGTATACCACTTTTGTTCGATTGTGTTCAAAATTGAGACCGAACGCTCGAGCAGTAATGGAAGACCTATCGTATGAACACTTGGAATTTCCAAAAGTATAGCTTTGCTAAACTGCACGCTGATTGCCGCCAATGCAACTGATATGAAGAACGCCACCCAGAAAAATATCAATAGTCGCCGGGATTGAGATGAAAGCATACCATTTATTTACACTTAACCAGTCGCCCGATTCTGGTACTCCGGGAAGTCCGACACATTGGAGCCATCCGCACCATCATGCATTGTAGTCTTTTGACCCTGGTTTTTCTTTTTCCCGCGAGTCTTTGCTTCCCACTGGCTTTCCTCGGCTGAAATCATAGCATTGAAACGCCCGCCTTGTCCACGGGCAAGGTAGATAGGCTGTTCTTTGCGCTCTGCCACAGCCTGGTTCACGAGGACAAATTTCACGCTTGAGCCAGGCGCTTCGAACATGGCATCACTGAGAATGGTCTCCATCTCGGTGCGTAGCGCGCGTGCGCCGGTGCCCATTGTAAAGGCATTGGCGGCAACCTTGTGGAGTGCCGGTGTGGTGAAGCGCAGCTCGATCCCCGAGAGGGAGAATAGGGTCGTGTATTGGGCTAGGAGGGAGTTGCGGGGTTCGGTTAGGATGCGCATAAGTAAGGGTTGAGACAGTGCCGAGAGAGCGGCGGTGACGGGAATCCTGCCGATCAGCTCTGGGATGAAGCCGTAGCTTTGCAGGTCTGAGGGTGTTAACAGGTCAAGTGCGTTGAAATAATCTGGCTCAGCGCCAGAACCAGTTGGCGTGGCCGAGGAGAAGAAGGGGAGGTGCTTCTTATATAGCGCTTCTTCCTCAGACCCTGGGAGGATTGGAAGTGGCTGGTTGGTTGAGATATTTGGCGAGCCAGGGAAATCACTAGTATTTGAGGGGGTCCGAACTGGCTGGCCAAATCCTATGGATCCACGGGATATTCGATCCATGATGGATTTGTGCAGTCCAACAAAGGCGCCAGAGAACACGAACAAAATGTTGTCCGTGCGCACATTGTACACTTCTCCCTTGGCGGCTGGGCTGGGGTTGTGGGGTTGAAATGACCCATTCCCCAAGGGACTGTTGGAGGGATAGCTATTCGGGGCACTAGTTGCACGGGGATTCTTCTCTGGTTTGGCCTGGACCTGCACGGTTGTGCCTTCGATAATCTTGAGAAGCGCCTGCTGTACTCCTTCACCGCCGACATCTTTGCCATGACTGACCTTTGCAGCTGCAATCTTGTCCACCTCGTCAAGGACGATGATTCCACGCTCTGCCTGCTCCACATTGTAGTCTGCAGCTGCCAAAAGTCGGTGAACACACACTTCCGCGTCCTCTCCAATGTAACCAGCTTGGGTGAACACAGTGCAGTCGGAAATACTGAAAGGCACAGAAAGCACCCGAGCAAGAGTTTTTGCCATAAGTGTTTTCCCTACACCAGATGGACCAAGTAACAAAATATTGGACTTTTCAAGCTGTAGGGGTGACGTATCGGCGAAATCGGATTGCTCTAAGGGGGTATTTGGGCGGGATTTGGGGGATTGAGGTATGTTGGTACTCTTACGCACGCCTGTGATATCATCTGTTATATCGAAGAATGAATCAGAATATGAGCAACAGAATCAAATATCAATAGGTGATATACCCTCTAAGGGATGAAACTCGAGTGCTTCCCTCCGCTGACGCTTCGCGAGAGCTTCGGCTGCTTCTTCCTCCCGGCGCATTAACTCTTGCACACGCTGATAGTGGTTGTACACGGCAACACTGAGAACTTTCTTTGCTCGATCCTGACCGACGACATATTGATCGAGATACTGCTTTAGCACTTTCGGTGTAATGCGGGGTGCGCCAAAAGCCGGAGTTGATCCTAATGGCCCGAGAGTAGGACCTCCAGTTTCACAGCTACCAGTAAAGGGCTGACCTGTAAATTCTGACCTGCTGAATTGAGATGACGTGGGAAATTTGGAGGAGGTAGACAGTAGGCGTGTTGGCCAGCTGTATGATTGAGGAAGCCGACACCGGACAATGTCATGACGAGCCAAGGTGGCCGGGAGGCGACGCTGTAAATGCCGCCACAGCATTGCTGGGCGCCAATTAATCACAGGGGGTTTATGAGAGACGGATAGAGAGCCCAGAAGTCGGAAAGTAAAGGAAGGATGATCGGAGAGCGATGGATCAGATACCGGATAGCCAAGTTTCCCCGCATGGGGGCAGGTGATCTTATCTGATGAGTCATCGGGTCGATGATGGACCGGCTATGTACAGCTATTCACGGCTAAATTCAATTAGAAGAGAAAATCGAAGCAAATCGAGAGCTATATTTGGTGCTCGAAGCCTGAAATATCTATGCTTCGAGCAGTCTTACAGATCATACTGCTGGAAGGCTAACCCACACTCAAATACAGGGAGCTGGTGCTGACGTCACGGATGGACATATCTTGTCCATACTCCAGGGACCTCTTACCATTCAGGACGCACCCACCTGGCCGGCTGAGCATGGGAGTAGCTCACACATACTCTAGGATGTACACTTCGCAGTCGTGTGGTGGCAGGTGGAGCAGACGCAGCTCACACCAACAAAATCGACAGTGTTATTGGGCAATCTGTGCAGCTTACATAAAGAAAAGCCATTAACACAGTTAACTAGCTAACTAACTACCGATATGGCGATTGCGCGAGGTCGGAATACCAACGCAACACTTGCACAACAGTATGCCGTCACCAACAATGCCATAGGTTTCGAATCCATATGGTCCGATCCGTGGAGGGCAAAAACATGGCGTTTAACTTAACAAGCAAATGCCTAGTTTCCAAAATTCATTCCGAGAGGACTTTTCATCTCCCAGAAAGAGTTGAGCATCGAGCATTAGGACAATGCGGAATTGTACTTGGGAGCATAAGCTGGCTAGAAACCTAGTTTTCTCAAGGTGTTCAAATAGCTATAGTATTTGAGTTGTTGCAAATTCAGTTCCGATTCCTACGGGTAGAAAGAGTGTAGAATAGCGAAACAGATGCAGCCCTTTCATGACAATAATGGGTATTTGGTTATTAGTCTCTAATGTCGGGCTGTTCGATGGCTTCTGTAGCCCTAGAAGGCGGCCGTAAAGCGTTGGATTCCTCGGGAATATAGGAATGGTTGAGCCGCAAGATCTGATTGGAACTAGGTGTAGACTTCACCGTTCAGATCCAATAGAAGCAAGTGGTTCGATCATGTTTTGGTTGAGCGCAGTACACTCCGGTGTATTCGCCTAAACTCAACTTTAAGAAGACCCTTTGGATGCATTTTTCACGTCATTGCCGGATTTGACTTGTTAGACAGATATTCACGGCTAACGGTAACCACAGTGGCTCGGTCACCGAGAAAATGTTATTTTCATGCTGGCCACTCTTATTTATTCGCCTTGAACACAGGCTGCTGTTCCATCGTCTGTGAGATGAAGTTGCGCAGGGCCGACCACCGACCGGCCGTCGGGTTCGACTCGGTGCTCGCCTCGCCATTATTGGCAACCGGGGCTGGTGTAATGTTGGACATCTCAGTCAGGTTCTTGTTGAAGCGGTCACGCTCCAATTTCTCGAGTTTTTCCCGGCGCTTCAGGGCACCTGGCTTGTGTTTCAGAGTCTTCTGCTTGATCACGTTCACTTGACTGGCGGCATCGTTGGATTCTTCAGCCTCGGGCAAGGCATCGGCCAAAGATTCGAGGTTGGCGACCAGTTTTTTTGATGCTCGTCGGCGCTTGGGAGTCTTCTGAGAAGTTTTCTCAATCTTAGACACGAGGGCAGCATGCTTGATCTGACGCTTATCTCTTTTGGTCGTGCGAAATTCGTCACCAAACACACTGGGTTTGGCTATTGCGCCTCTGCCCGAGGCAGTTTTCGTTTTGCGAATAGGAGCCTGTGAAGATAGAACGATAATTAACCGGCTGAAAGTGGAACAAGATAAGTAATGCAGCGTACCATGTTGACATGTGAGATCTGCAAAGAGCACAGTAAAAGACGAAATTGCGACGGGGAAAAGCGAAAGGCCGCCAACCCTTCACCGCCCGAATCCACTATCCCCACCCTTTTTTCCAGGAACTCAACGCTGTTTGGCTCCAACGGACTATTCCCGAGGTCAGGTCAATAAATAATATTGGAAGGCAAAAAAAAAGAAAATTAAAACAGCCCGTGACGTTATCAAGTTCTCGTTGCTCCGAATTCGACGTCTTTCCTGTGACATCAGAAGCGATCAGAAGGCAATCTCGGAAAAAAACTAAAATTCACTGGGGTCCCAACACGATAAATTTATGGATATACGCCTCAACCTACGTCGGATTTGCGTTCCTCACTCTACCGTATTTCTACCTCGGTCACCCACCCTGTTCCAGACCCGATTCATACTTCCACATTTGCCCCCGCCGAGCTTTTTGCCTTTTAAACCCACCTTCTCCGGGCCTCTTTCCCGCAGATCAATTGTCTCTTCTACAAACACCATGGCTTCTCTCGGTCCTTATCAGCGCAAGCACAAGATCACAGTGGTGGGCTCCGGTAACTGGTAATCAGTCCCCTGAAGGACTGCAGTGAATGTGAGCTAATCGTGCTTCTCCATAGGGGCTGTGCCATCGCTAAGATTGTCGCCGAAAATGCGTCCAGCAACCCCGAACTCTTCGAGGAGAAGGTAGAGATGTGGGTATTTGAGGAGACTGTCGAGGTTCCAAAGACTTCCAAGAACTACAATGCCTCGAACCCCGGCCCTCAGAAATTGACTGAGGTGATTAACAATGTCCATGAGAATGTCAAGTACCTTCCAGGAA